GAAGGCCAGCTTTGAATGCCGCTTCATAACAGCCAAAGTAGTCATTGTCGTGGTCAAGGTCGTCATCCCAGACGATGGATGCCTCTACAGGCGGCACAACAATCTCCCATCCCTTACCAACCGGGCGCTTTTTCAAAAATGCCGGAAGGGTGGCGTTCAAAGTGACCACATCCCGGGCGGTCATATGTGCCTCTGTTGGATTGTTGATAGAGGGCCACTTATATGCCTCCTCATCCTCTTTGCCGTCTGTACTCTCGGATTCCTCCAATATCTCATCCCCGGGCGTGCTAGGTACGCCCGTCTGGTCATAAGGTACATCCTCAGCCGGAGCCTTGGTTGAGCCGTCTGACTGATATTCGGGGTCTACAGCCGTCCGTCTCGTCCGAGCCATTCTGTCCTGCACATGAACAGAGACGGTCGGATTCGCAAAAGAGTAAGGGTGGTCCAAACACCCCCAGATGGCATCCCTAGTCCTAGACTCAACAGTTTTCGGTGACCGGCTGACAACTGTCTTAGGCCGTGCCGTGTGTGTGTTGGGTAAGTCCATTATTCAATACAATCGAAAAAAGCGCAAAAAAGTTGCAAGGGGCAGAGACGGTACCTTGAGGTTGTATAAACTCTGAAGACGGTTGACTTCTTGAAGTCAGCAGCTGGAAATCCTCTTGGTTGCTTGATGATACCCCAAACGGTATCCCGGATGTACCCTCTTCAAAGAGCACCTGAATTGTTGAAGCAGCCCAACTGTTTCTCTGAAGTATGGCTTGATGATACCCCAGACGGTAGTGACCGGCTGTGGGTGTATTGAAAGCTAGAGAAAATAAAAAGGGTACTCAGGCGGTTTGAGGAAAGTGGCTTGAAGATGCCCTAGACGATTATGATCGGCTGTGGGTATATTGAAAGCAAAGGAAAGAAACTTGACTATGGTCAAGCGGGATCTAAGAGTTAAGCAACGAACACTCTGACGGTGTCCGGATGAGTGAAGAAAGAAAGGATGGTTTTGAATAAACAAGCAACCGGTATTAGAGCGTTCTACAAGAAATTCTCTAAAAAATGAAAACTTGCAAAGTGTGAAAATGAGAGGAGGGCTTCTACTTATAGAAGAACCCTGAAGACGAACCGTCACCTCCCTGTTCAAATTCGAAATTCGAATTCACAAAAAAAAAAAAAAAAAAAAAAAAGAGAGAGAGAGAGAGAGAGAAAGAGGGAAGGAGACGAACCGTCACCTTCCCAGAATGTGACACCTGTCACAGGTGCCACGTGGCGAGCCACGTCACACATGTGAGGGGCAAATGTTTAGGGTAAAAATACCCTGTCCACGTGGCCCAATGGTATGCTGACACGTGTTAGCCTCAGAGAGGCCCAAGGGGATCCACTCCTCCGCTCACACGTGGCACCTTAACCCTAATAGGGGAACTGATCCTCTTCCACTATAAATAGAGGAAAATCCTCATTTATTACGTATTCATAAATACATACACAAAAACCGAGCAAATATTAATTGCAGAATTCTCTCTGAACCGGATGGAAAAACCTCTATATTCCGCACTTTTATACATCCGGAAACGTTCTAACTTGATCGTCGGAGGTGGAACTCCACCCAACCGGAGTTTTCATGGTTTTGCAGGTATAGACGGTCGACGCGCATCCTTGGAATTGTAACTCTTCCGAGGGAATCCAAAAACCCCGAAACACCGGCCATCGGGGAGACATATCTGCACTAGAAAGAGACGGAGAGAAAGCAGCATAACCGCCTCCAATAGATTGTCGGCTGCCAGAGGAACCTTCTGACTGAAGACAAGAATGTGACTTGACCCACATGGGCCAGCCAAGCTCAAGGGAGTTGAAGAATTCAGCAATACCTTGGTGAGGCGGCTGAAGGCTCAAATCGCCTGCAGCCCAAGGGGGCAAGACACCAGACGGCACCGCAGCAACATCCGGCTAGGAGGTAAGGTCTACGTTTATTTGTAGACTCTTTCCTCCAACAGACGCTCGGGAGGCCGTCTGAGCAGATGAGGTTTTCCTGGACTAGTTGCCAGATGTCTCCTCACCAGACCTTCGTTTGATGACCCTGGAAAGGGATCTAGGAGCCCTGTCTCCCTCCTAGAAAACAAGTCAGAAATTAGACATCAAGCTGGGACCAGGTACAAACTATACAAACGGTTTGTCACCGTCTGTACACCAAGAAATAAAGCAATAAATTGGAAGCTAAGTCAGGCGGTTAATACCTTCTTTTTAGCCGCCTGTGCGATTCTTTTCTTCTTCGCATTCTCCCTGCAAATGTCTGCGACGGACTTAGCAGGCGTTTTGTCCACTGAAAGCATGTTTAATGCAGTTTCTACAAAAGAAAACCGGTTGTTAGATCATCGAGCAAGAAAAATACAAGTTACAAAAGATAGAAACGACAAAACACAGCCGGAGAAACTATCTACATACGTTGTTAAATTGGTTGCTCAACCCACAAGCGGACAAAAACGCCTCGTCCCTCAAAAATTCATGTTTAGGTACCAGTTTTTAGGTACACTAATTAATTCATCGGTTGAGAGGGTGGTGGTTGTAAGCTCAAAAAACCCCGCCTCTATTATTTTTTCGTAATCCTCATCTGGGATTTGAGGCAACTTGCACTTCTGTCCCAGAAGGTCTGGTTTCCGGTTGTATGTGCGAAGTTCAAGTTTTCTCGCTTAGTGGGGGCAGAAACCAGATAGAAGCGGGTTTTCCAGTCTGACCACTTAGACGGTTTGTCTAGGGTCATCAGGTATTTAGGGTACATGGTTAAGGTGTACCATGCCCTCCACCCGCCTGGACTTCAGCTTAGATAGTGCATCTTGGCAAAGGCCTCCCAGCCGGGATGAAGACCCTGCATCTCACAGGCGGCGATGTAGCCCAAGATGTTAATCCAGGAGTTTGGGGTAACTGCCACACGCCTAGGCCATATCCTCTAAGGATAGCCTTTATTGCATTGTGACGGGGGAAGCGGAGCCCAGCCAAAAATGTCGCCTCATAGCAGCCGAAATATTTATTGGTGTCTGACTAGTCGTCACTCCGGGATATGGTTCCAAACTTGGGCGGCACCCGAATAGTGTATCCCGCACCCATTGGACGCTTGAGTTTAACCGTCTCCAGGTGCCTTTCCATATTTGCTCTGTCTTTGGCAGAAATATAGATTTAAAGTGGATCCCCTTTATTATTCCATGTTGGCCTCTCCTCTTCCTCACTATCCACGTCCGGAGTTAGAGAGCTACTTGAGCCAAAACCAGAGGCGAATTCACTCCCGTCTCTCTCAGAGGCACTCCCACCCGCCTCCTCCTGACCAGATACGGAGGCGCCCTTTCCTCCGTCTCCATTTTCGGACTCTAGGTGTGTTGGGTGTGCCCTTGAAGGATCCTCTTGCCATCTCAGCCTGATCTCCCTCAGGCGGCTTTTCTTCGGTGCTCTCCTCCCTATACTCTGGATCTACAACCATCTTCCTAGTCCTGGCTATAGTGTCCTGCACAAACACGGAGACAGTCGGATTGGGAGATGAGCAAGAGTGATCCAGGCACCTAGAGGCGGTTCCCTCAATTCTAGACTCAGCCGTACCAAGGGACCGGCTGCCCTCTAAACTACGTTGTGTCGTGTGTGCTATTGGTGAATCCATTAACGGAGCAAATGTACACAAACGGAAATATATAAAAGAGTTGAGAAGAGGTGAAGCGGTACCTATGAGATGAGTTGCAAGGTAGTCAAGCGGTGACCGGCTGAATTAACAAGCGGAAACTGAACAATGGCTTGCAAGATGCTCAGGCAGGGGACCGGTTGTACCCACTTAAAATGCCAAAGCTTGCTTGAAAGGTACACAGACGGTTCTAAAGAAGAGATAACCGGATGTACCCCTTTGAAAAAGAATGACAATTTGCAAACTACCTAGACGATGAACCGGCTGTAAGTAGTGAAATGAAAGCAATTGCTTGCCAGGTACACAGGCAATTGGCAGAGCTTATCTCTCTAAAAAAACGGATGTCTCTCTCTCTAAGTTTTGGAAATATCCAAAAAAAGGAGGGGTTAAAAATCTAATTATAGAAGGGTAATTCAGGGGGCATCCCCGTAATTTCCCTAGAAGACCAACGGTTAAAAATCGTCCACCAATGGCCACCTAACAGGTGTCACTGGTGCCACGTGGCACCCGTGAGGGGCAAATGTTTTGGGTATTTTACCCTGGACACGTGGATCAATAAGAAGGTGACACGTGTCACTTCAGGAGAGGTTCCCAGAGAACCAATCCCCTGCTGACACGTGGCATCCCCAATGATTGGGAATAATGGCGGCTTTTCTGGCCCAATTCCCAAGGAAGCCCACCATTCCTAGGTTTCCGTAACCTAGGATGGTGGCACGCATTTCGAAACCCTATAAATAGGGAGATGTTCCCATCATGGGACACATTCAAAAATATACAAAAAAGAAACTGAGCAATCATTAATTGCAGATATTCTCTCGGAATCCGAGAAAATACTTTACTTTCCGCACCTTTTACAGACTCCATACACGTTCTAACTTGATCATTGGAGGCGGAATTCCACCCACCTAGAGTCTCCGTTATTTTGCAGGTACAGGCGTCCAAAGACCAGTCTTGAAATTGTAACTCTCCCGCAGGACATCAAAAAAAACCGCGAAACAGAAACCTTGAACAGGTTTCTGATAATTAAGCAATTGCAACAACCTCCTCCATATTCTACTAGAGTACACTAGGCGAAAACACGTAATCTGCACCGGTTCAAAACCCCCATTTAGCACTGGTTTTGAATTGGTCTAGATTTGGGGGGTGCTAAAACCCATGACATTTAGCACCGGTTCAAAACTGGTGCGAAATCAAACTTTTGGCACCGGTTCTGGTGAAAACCGGTGCTAAAAACCACACTTTTCGCACCGGTTTTGCCTTAGAACCGATGCCAATATTCGCCAAAAAGATTTTTTTAAAAACTTTTAGCACCGGTTCTTTTCCAAAATCGGTGCCAAAAATGCCCCCAAAAAATAAAAAAAAATAAAATTTTTTTTTTTGCTTTTTTTCACTAAAATTTATATATAAGCACTAACATATATATCAAGTTACAGAAATTTACTTCTAATACTCCAAAAACCTGTTCTAATGAAGCATAAAACTTCACAATCCTCTTTGGCACTCATTTCATATATATTGAGTATGCATCCTCGAGGTTCATTGCTTTAATCTCCTGTGCTATTTTGCTGTACATCATTTGCATGGTTTCACCCTGTTGAAATGCACATGTCAGGCTATAATGAATCAGTCCATAACTATCTTGATCCACGACCGGTTTGATATGTTACCTGCCAAAAAAGAATTTCTTGCACGGAAGCAGAGGTGGGTACACCCTTAGGCCAAATAGGGATGACAACGTAGACAGCAAATCTCTCTTTGGCTCGGATTTTGCTAACAATCTTCAGTGCCAACTCCATAGGTATCAAATGATCAGCACCTGCCAGTACGTTATCATTAAGCACACTAGCTATCGAATCCAACAGGAACATTCACATTTTCTAAACAACTTCAACAGGAAGATTATAAGAAAGGGAAGCTGAAAATTTCATACCAGCATTTTTGTAATTTGGCCATGCATATGATGATCCAAGGAAATACTTGTTTTCTATATAAATGAAATGTTGAGCAGATCTGATTGCTTCAATGTATGTTGTTTGGATGCTCTTGTCTATCACCAAATTCTTGGCACAAACCAGGTTCTGCAATGAAAGCAGGTACATTGAGTCCAAATTGGCTTCATTATCGAAAAAATCAAGTGAGAGATGTGGTCAATGAAAAGAACCCAGATATAACATGGTATAGCAGCAAATTTCAATAAACAGAAGCAATTACCAACAACAAACAGGTGATTGTTCTAAGCCTCCAAAGTCCAAAACTCCAACACAGTAATTGCCAAAAAAAAAAACAGAAAGATGATAATCCGCAAGAATCTCTATCAATAACATTGTTTTAAGATATCAAAACCTAAAATTTCCTAAATTAATCACAACAAAAAAAATAAAAAAAAAATCTAGGATTAATTACAAGAACACATTTTTTTCCAACCACTTTCTCTGTATTACTAGAATTAATCAACATCACAGAGTTTTCTTTTCTTTCATTTTTATTTTATTTTTATAGATTTATCAAGATTTTTAATAAAATATTGTAGCACATAAATTGAAAATTGAGCAAAATGAAAGCTTGAAAATATGGTGAATTGGGAGGAAATAGAAAAATACCAGCAATAGTAAAGTCGAATTCATTGGAAGGAGACTTTCTTGTTCGTCGTCTCACCACAAAAATTGCTCTGCTCAATTTCTGAAAAAATCCCTTATTTCACTGTTTTCCCCTCTTCAATTTGTGCAATTTGTACTTGAGATATACTTCGTACTTAACAACTCTACAGCTTCAATCTCAGTAGTCACAAGATGCACATAGCTTACCAACTTTCTCCTATTCCTTTGCAAGTAATCAGATACAAATATTCAGCATCTTGAAAGGAGTAATACAGTTTTACAATGTCGTTTTCTTTGTCCTCCAGAAATACCCCTTATCATTTCATTTCTCACCATAGTATCAGCACAGATATCAAGTCCCAAAATCTGTTTAAGCAGACAGATCCCAAATGATCAGATTCTGATGTTTTGATCAACTTAATGAAAGTTACGAGTATATCAGACCAATCCTAAGACTGAGCTATTACCTTGAGAATGCATTCAGTGACAACACTCGCCTCCTGCCCCTCAATTTCTGAAGCTAAGGCCAATCAGAAGCTTGCAAGCTGCTGCAAAATTTACATTCCAATGTTACACGTATCATATACTTCATGTTTAACAAAGCAGCAGGAAAAGGATCCGGTGACAGAAAAAAAAAATGTATTGCCACAGCTCATTCTTTGTAGAGACAAAAGTTTGTAGTCTTTTTACTTACATCTTTTGAGGGAAATCCTTCAATACCAGGGCTAGTTCTCGTATTGACAGCTAATTTCATCGAGAGAAACTGCAACAAGCATTCAGGGTTAGTTTTAGAACTCAATAAGAAGGCAACGGAAAGAACATACAACTAGCAGCTTCAGCAATTACACACCTCAACTTGACGCTGTAACGATTGGATATAATTTATGATCTCATCAAGTACCAATGCTTTGCCAATGACTTGAAACCCAGGTATTTGGTCAGGAATCAGGATATTGATCATGAACCTCTTCAAACATATTCGAAAAACTTAAAACACCACCAAATACCAAAAATCTTAGTAGGATTTACAGTGTAACTAGATAAGTTGATCGATAAGATGCAATAAGAGAAAAGTGGACCGAGAATTCAGTCCAATTAATACTCATGTCAATGGCAAAAATAAATACGACAGTTTATCAGCCCTTCAGATGATAACAATAATGACAACAGCAATAGATGGAAAAATTGAAGTAGCAGTGGTCGAACCTTATTACACCCAGGGACAACATCTTGTAGTATTCTCATCCTCTCACTGATCTTTTCTCTTCAAGCCTGCCAGCAAAAGAAAAAAAAAAATCTGACATTTTATCAACTGTATCATATTCCTACATCTCTGACAGCAAATGGTTTACAGGAAAACAATAAATACCAAAAAAAAAAAAAAATCTATTCTCTTAAAATGATCATATAATATACAATTGTATAGTGAGGTTATAATTTTTGGAAATTAAAAACGACTATAGAGACTTGCAAAAAAAGATGAAGGCATAAAAATAGTGAAAACAAATTAGCAAGGAAAAATCAAATACCCTTTCAGCAAGGCTATGGCTATCAGTTGCTTGACCTCTCCTTGCTCGAACATAAATATAATCCTTTGATGGATCAGACACTGGCTTACTCTTTTGTTCACCTCCTTTTCCAGAAGTTGTTTCATTATTAGCTCTCTGATTCTGATTTTCATCTTCGGATCCTGTTGATTTGAGCCTTTTACCATCAGAATCACTCTGTCAAAACAAAAAATCCAAAAAAAAAAGTTCACTATGGCTCCTATAACAATCTAATTTCATATATTTACAAGAACCAAAATTAATGAAATCTCGACGATGTCTAACTAATACCTGAATAGCTATCAATCAAGAGTTGAACTAGTTCTAATTATCTGTGTGAACAATATTGACTAGACACAATTAAAACTGACAACCCAGCAACCACGAAACCACCACCACACCCACCACCGCACCCACGAAACCACCACCGCAACCCCTATCCATCTCCAATTCCCCCAAAATTCCACAAACAGCCTCGAGAAATCAGGAAACCCTTAATTTCTTCCAATTAACCTCAATTGGCAAAAATCACTCAAACATAGAACAAATTCACGAGTAAATCCATTAAAAATCAATCCAATAACACAACCAGATTCGACAACCCTAAAACAACAACAACAAAATCAACCAACAATTCATCAATCGCAACGAAGATCCAAATTGAGAACAGCAAAAAAAAAAAAAAAAAAAAAAAAAAAAAAAAAAAAAAAAAAAACAAAATCAAAACCATAAGGAAGCGAAATCGAAGCAAACCAAGAGCAGCAGGTCGTAGAGCCAACAAAACAAGCTGATACATCTTTATAAGTGTGAACATTTGGTGTGACAACTAATGAGTTCACAAGTTCTACATCATATCTACGACCTCCTTAGCATAGATAATAATAGAACTCCCGACAGACCAACAGTGAATACAGCAGCATAGCCATAACAATTTGGTAAACTGACTGAGAAATATGAAACTGAAAAAAAAAAAAAAAAAAAAAAAAAAAAAAAAAAAAAAACTTAAGAGAAAAATCTCACCTTTGAGCAACCTCCTTTCGTATAGTATACCTGATTTTGTTATCAAAACACCTCTCTTTTTTTTTCTCCCGAAACCTAACCAAGGAAGCTATCCGGTGAGATATAATGGATTTCCTCGCAGGACTTCCACTGGCCTACAAATTTATTACAAAATCAGCTCAAAACATATATATAGGAAACAAGTTATTATATCGTTCTCACAAGCTTCACCACAATCACCTACTGTATGTATTTTTTTTTTTTTTTTTTTTAAAGTACTACCCTATCGTCTTGTCCAAAAGCAACCTCAGTTGTTGGAACTCCAGCATGAGTCTCACGTTCTCCAAGGAGCAAGAGCACTGCTTGGACCTGTAGTTTGAAATTCCAATAAGAAATGCTTCTGTCTCACACAAGCTTACTATCAAAAGTATTTTATAATCAGCATACGATATACAAGGAACATCAGTAAGAATGAGAAATCAATAACACTTAGCATACATTTAAATTTATAACAACCAACAACATTGATAGACAAATTCAATAGCAAACAGAACATTGAAATCTAAGAAACACTACTCAGCTCTGCACATCACTTATCACACTACACACGCATGCAAAACGAAGACGAATGGTTATGGCAAAGGAATCCCTCAACAAAAACCAATTATCAATCCATAGAGAGTAACCTCAAATGTAAAACAAATCGTTTTTACCACCTATATTCCCTGATCTTTGTAATGCTAGACAAGAGAGACTTACAAAAAATTCTGACTAATATAATAACCTTAGATATAGAATCGTCAAACAATTTACAAAAAGACTACATATTTGAGCACTTCCTTATTTGAGCAAAAAAAAAAACAACACATATTTCCACATTCTCATGATCATAGACAACAATTCAAATAATGAAACTAACAAAACGAAGTTGTGCAATGGTTTAACACAATTGGGTGGTGAAAAGAGAAGAATATCTAAATTGACGACAGGAATTTCATAAACCTGTTAGACAACGACTCACACAAACCAATCATCTCCTAGAGAGCAGAAAACCAAACCAAACCAAAAAAATATCAAACAGTATACAAAAACTAATAGAACTCAGGACTTCAAGGGCGGCAAGAATGCAAAACTGATGCAGAGCATTTGTTGTACTCACAGTGACATTGGTGGCAATGGTGTTTGTCTTTGGAGTTGACGGTGAGGGGGTGCACAGCATAACTCAATGAACAACTTAGTGCACAGCATAATTATCAACAAAGTTGAAAGACATAACAACTCGAGCATAACTCAATGCACAGCAAGTAACACAAACCGGAAAGGCAAGCTCACCAGACACCAAGTCCACTGTTCGAGGCCGTGCCGCCGTGACAAGGAGGCCGTTGTGGTGGAGGTGTAGCCGTGCGCGCTTCAATGACAAACCCTATATTACCACAACCCTAAAATTACTAAATTGAAAAGAAAATCAACAACAAACCCTAGATTGTGAATGAATTCGAGGGATTAAGTAGACCACAAGAAAAATCTTACCTCGAAGCTGCTTTAATGGAGGTGAGAAAGCTCAGAATCGGCTTCAATGGAGAATATAGAGCACGCGTGAGTTCAATATAGGCCAATGATATGGAGAGAGAAGGAGGTGCTGCTTCAATGGAGTGGAGTTCAGGAAGAGAAGGAGATGCGAAAACGAGAGAGAAAGAGAAGAGCGGAACGGGAGGGAAAGCAGGGGGAAAAAAGAAAGAAAAAGAAAGAAAGCCATAAACCGGTTTTTTTTTTAACATTTCGCACTGGTTTGGTTAGAACCGGTGCGAAATCCCTTTCTTCCTTTTTTCGTTTGTAATTCGCACCGGTTTGAACCGGTGCGAAAAAGATGAAAATGTGCGAAAACGATTTGTTTTCAAGAACCGGTGTGAAATGTGCGATGCCTAATTCATTTTTTCTACTAGTGGTAGCTGCAAAAAAAAAAAAAAAAAAAAAACAAGTGTTGCACAGTTTCCCTCTCTTGCAAACAGAGAAGACAAATAGGATCACACATAGAATTCCACTTAAGAACTCTATCCTTAGTCATAAGTCTATTCCAATTTGCAAGCCACAAAATAAACACACTCCTTGGAGAAGCATTGTTATTACAAACGATTCTCCTCCGAGGAACCTTAGCAACCTGCAGTCTCAACTTGCTATAGATCTTCTTTACTTGCACCTTATCATTTCTCATCACTGAGTTCCAACCCCCAATATCATCAACCAGACTTTTGTACTTCATTATTTTCCTTAGAACCCAAGAACCTTTTTGAGGTATATCAACTGTCCAGAAATCCACAAACCTGAATTAATAGACATGCACCCACTTTACCCAAAGAGAATCAGCCTTATGAGTGATATCCCAAAGGATTTTGCATACAGCAGCAGTATTCGAATCATGCAAAGCTATAACATTCCAACCTCCAAAAGTTTTAGGCAAGCAAATGGTGTTTAAAGCTACAAGAGCTTTCTTTGTGGGGTTAGCAGCTCCTGTCCAAAGAAAAGCTTTAAACCTGCTCTCAATCTCCCTCACAATCTTTATTGGCAAAACAAAAATCTATGCCCAATAGGTTTGAACCCCAAAAAGCACACTCTTAATAAGCTACAATCTACCAGCATAAGAGAGAAATCTAGTTTCCCCCACTTTCAATTCTATAAGTAATCTTATGAACCAAAGGTTTGCATTGCTTGATAGTCAGTTTCTTCGAAGACAAAGGCACACCAAGATACATAAAAAGAAGAGAACCGGCAACCATGCCAAGAAAACTCAGAAGAATCTCCTGATCCTCTAGACTGATACCCCCAAAGTATACCTCACTCTTATTGAGATTTGCAACCAAACCAGAAGCCCTAGAGAACTTCTTGAAAGCATTAAACAAGAGCTTAAAAGAAGTCTCATCAGCTGTAGCAAACATGAGGAGATCATCAGCAAACATGACGTGAGTGATGGACAATTTTTCACATCTTGGATGAAAATTGAAATCAGGCACAGCAACAAGTTCGTGTAAGCATCTAGACAAGTACTCCATTCCTATAGCAAAAAGAAAAGGAGATATGGGATCACCTTGCCTTCACCCTTTTTTCGCCCTGAAAGGAGTTGTAGGGATACCATTGATCAAAATAAAGAAAGCAACAGAGGTAATGCATCCCATAATCCAACCAATAAACACATTTGGAAAACCAAGCTCACACATTACATCCTTAAGAAAACTCCATTCAATAGAGTCATAAGCCTTTTTCACTCAACCTTCATCATACATCTAGGAGTAATGAATTTATGGTTATACCCCTTAATTAACTCAATGGTCAGCAGGATGTTATCACTAATGTGCTTCCCGGGAATAAAGCCAGAGCAACATCAACAACTTTCTTAATAACCTTTGCAAGCCTAACTGTAAGAATTTCGGAAACAACCTTATAAAGATCAGTACAACAAGCAATTGGCCTAAAGTCTCTCACATAAGAAGGATTTTGCACTTTAGGAACCAGAGTTAAAGTAGTGCTATTCCACTGAGAACTCGTCACCCCACTATCAAAGAAGTCATGCACAGCTTCATAGATTTCATACTTAACAAGCTCTCTGGTATGCTTAAAGAACTTTGCATTGAAGCCATCAATTCCCGGGGCCTTATCATCAGAAATTCCTTTAATAGCACAATCAATCTCAGAATTTGTAACAGGAGCTATTAAAAGGTTATGAGCCGACACAGAAAGTTGCCTTCTAGATCTCATTGTAACAAGATCAACATCATTAAGATCAGAAGAGCTAGACCCCATCAACTGCTTGTAGAAATCAATAATTTCCTTCTCAACATCAACAATAGCTTTTAACAGGACATACTGATCGGTCATGATAGTATCAATTTTGTTTCAGGATTTTCTATGCTTCACCATGGAGAAAATATACTTGGTATTAGAATCCCCAAGTTTAACCCAATCAACTTTAGATTTTTGCCTGTAAATGCTCTCCTGAACAGATCTCCAGTACTTAAGCTGGTTAATGGCAGTAGTTTCCTGCTCCATCAGAACAAAGGAATGAAGATCAAGAGCCATTTGATCTTGAATATCAAGCAGAGCCTGCTGAGCTAAATCAACTCTCTCATCAACATTGCAAAAAGAGTTAAGATTAAGATCTTTGAGCTGAACTTTCAAATTCTTGAGTTTTTTCCAAATTCTATTCATAGGATTACCCTGAACCCCATTATTCCACACCTCTTGCACCAAGCTCATAAAATCTGGATGAGTAATCAAACAGTTCAAAAATCTAAAAGGTTTCCCTTTACGTGGAGAAGGAGGGAAAATCTCATAAAGAAGAGGAGTATGATCAGAGAGGGAGGGGGAAATATAAACAGCTTCCACATTAGGAAATTGAAGCAACCATTCAAAATTAATCAACCCTGTATCAATCCTAGTAAGAGTTCTAGCTTCAACATGAGCTTTATTTGACCAAGAAAAATAGGATCTCTTACTTTGTATCTCCATAAAATTCATATCCTCCACAAACTCTTTAAAATCTCTAACTTCATAATCTGTGACCTCACTCCCATTAATTCTATCATCAGTTTGCAACACGGAATTGAAATCACCTGTGCAAATCCAAGGAAGAGACATAGGGCCAATAGCCCTTATACCCCCCACAACTCTATCCTATCCTGAATATTATGCAATCCATAGACAAAGGAAACAACAATCTGCCTACTGTAATCAACAGAACTAACAAGACAGTGAATGAACTAAGTGTGAATACTTATTACCTCAACATGGAGCCTATCACTCTTCCAGCCGAGCCATATTCTTCCTTTTCAAGAAACAGAATAATTACACACCCAAGTTAAGCCATAAGAGATCTTCTTCTGTATACCACTACTCTTATGCTGTTTAACTCTAGTTTCCATCAAACAAATTAACTCAGATTTAGTTCTATGAAGGAGCTGCCTGACATCAGCCACCTTACTGGGATCATTTAGACCCCTAACATTCCACACAATGAGAATCATTGCTGTGTAGGGGGCCCACCCCCGCTTGGTTCAGTAATATTCTGCCTCACAAAAACATTTTCTTCTGCATTTTGTTCTTCAGGTAACACAGCATACTTGTTTGTAGTTAGCACAAGCATCATGTTCTCAGCAACTTCTTTCCCTTTCTTCTTCATAGTTTCCCACCCTCCATTAGTCTTTGATGGTAAACCAGGCCCCTCTTTCACTTTCTGAACCCAAGTTTTCTTTTGGGTTTGAGGCTTAGCAGCAGGTTGGTTTTGTTTAAGTTTCGCTCTCTTCACAGATATGACCAACCTTTTGCACTTCCTGCAATAAGGAGGAGACCATTCATACTCCACAGTCAACTCCACAACCTCTCCTTTAGGGCTCTCCACCCAGACAGATTTTGCTAGAGGCTTAGTAATGTCGATTTCAACTAAAATTCGAGCAAAAGAAACCCTTAATTGTCTCGTTGTGCATTCATCAGCACAAATTGGAACACCAAGAGTGCTGCCACTTCTACCTAGTGTGCAGTACCCCAACAATTGAGAGGAAGATTAGGCAACTTAATCCACAGAGGTACAGTACGCAAAATTTCAGCATTGAAATCGAATTTGTCAGACCAAGGTTTCACTATAGCCGGCTTTACATAAAACATGTGAGGACCCCCACACAATATAGCATTCAGATCAGTTTGAGAACACAAATTAATAATAAAATATCCCTCATCATGCTAGAAAACCTCGGGTTTATATCAATTCCCCATTCATCCACAATAAAGCGCTTAACAGAGGCAATAGTAGGATAGAATCCAACCACATACAGGACAATTGCATTACTCCACTTCCTAGTACCCTCTTCAATTTCATCAATAGGTAATACAGCAATAGACTTACCATTCTTAATCTGAGGAGGGAAATAGCTCAGAGAAACCCCCTTCGCATTCAGTTTACCATTGAAAGCTTGTACCCCAGTCCCCCCACCTCGAAAATCACCAGTCTCTGCAACATTAGGGTTAGAAAGAGGCGGAAAATTAGCTTGATTACCAGGAACCGCAACAGGTGTAGCTGAAGAGCTAGCCACGGGGGATTAGTAACTGTTGCAGTCGATTTGGGGCCAATAGATCCAAAATTGAGAGCTAGGAATTCAGCGTCCCTCCTAATTACCTTCCCTGCTGACGGATGCACAAGACTAGGGGCAGGAGTTACCAACTCATCACCTTCATCAAAAACTTCATGCAATTGTGGAAACCCTACCGAAGTAGGAGCAAGCAGAGATTCAACTATTTCATTAGTGATTTTAGCAGGAGCAGGAGTAAATTGCTTTTTCTTTCGGGCCATAGCTTTTGATTTAGTGAAAAAAACCAGCAAAATCAATAAACTAGGGACGAATACCAAGCTTTCTCTCACTGGCTTTCTCTCACTAGTTTTCTCTCTATAATGCGTTTAACTTTCATTTACTTCCCTATCTACTTTAGTTAGAGGAATTAGATAATTCTTTTGATTAGGATATACGACTTTATCCTGTTAGTAGCCTGGATGCGAGACTCGTTTTATTTATTAGTGATATGATATGATATATTAGATTTTAATATATCTAATTTTTATAAACTAAAATTATTACTAGTAATATGTAATAGATTTATAAACTTGGTCAGTACTTCGAATTTAATTGAACACTAGGTGAAGTGAGTTACTTATACAAGTAATTTGTAGTTTAGAACTTTTTCTTAGCGTAGGATAGGATGATAATGCAATCCGAATTCGATCTGAAAAAAAAAACATCCAAGGCAAATTCGAGAAATAATCTGAATCCTAATTCGAGTTGGTGGAGGGTCGAAGTAGAATTATAAGACTTATCTAGTTGGGAGATATAATAGGAAGAATGTTCCTTCTGGGTGCATGTTTAAGGTGGACATTAGGAAAGCCTATGATTCTGTAAATTGGAAGTTCCTAAGGGATATGTTGACAGCTCTTCAATTTCCTACTCAGTTTGTCAGTTAGGTTATGGAGTGTGTTACCACTCCTAGCTTCTCCCTGGTTCTTAATGAGGAGGTATATGGGTTCTTCCCAGGTAAGAAAGGAATAAGAAAAGGTGATCATTTATCTCCTCTCTTATTTGTTATTTGCATGGAATATTTGACTAGGATCCTGTAAAAAATTGAGGAACACAGGGAATTCAAGTTTCATCCAAGGTGCAGAGGGGTGAGACTTAATCATTTGGTTTTTCTTGATGATTTAATAGTCATGAGTAGGGGAGATGATATCTTAGCTTCTTTATTAATGAGAGATTTAGCTACCTTTGCTGCTGCATGTTGCCTGGTTGCTAATGAAGGAAAGTAAAATGTGTATTTTTGTAATGTGAATTTGACTGAGAAGGAATATATCATGAACATTTCTGGTTTCCAGGAAGGTACTCTCCCTTTTAAATATTTAGAGGTGAAGGTTAATGCTAAGAAATTGTCTAAGGATGATTGTAATATCCTTATTGACAAGACTGTAGCAAAAATTAGGTAGTAGGGAGGAAGAACTATGTCTTACACAGCCAGAACTACTTTAGTTAATTCTGTTCTTTTGTCCTTGCGTTCTTATTGGGCTTCTTTGTTCATCTTGCCTAAGAAAGTGCTGGAAGGAGTAGTGACTATCTGTAGAAATTTCTTATGTGATGGAAAAGTTATTACTAGCAGAACTTCACCTATTTCTTGAGAAATTATTTGTAGACCCAAGAAACAAGGTGGATTGGGTGTACAGGTCTGTATGACTTGGAATATTGCTATCATAGGTAAGTACATATGGGATATTGCTAACAAGAATGATAGCTTGTAGCTGAGATGGGTTAATCACCACTATATTAAGGATATAAACTAGAAGAGAGTGGGGTGTCCTCCTTAAGTTAGCTGGCAATGGAAGCAAATTTGGAAGGTTAAGGAACAGATAAAGCATGGTTTCACAAGAAACATATGGCAACATAATGCTACTAGTTATACAGTAGCTTCTGCTTGTAAGTGATTGCAGCATACTAAATTTGAGGTGGTTTGGTGTAATTGGATCTGGAATAGGTTCAATATTCCCAAGCATCGTTTTATTAATTACTTGGATAGCAGCCTAGGGGAGACTCAGAACAAAGGACAAGCTGAAGATGTATGGAGTGCTTGATGATGATAGTTGCCCCTTGTGCGATACTTGTTTAGAATCAAATGATCATATTTTGTTTGAATGTGATTATAGTCAGAAACTTCTAGTTTTGCTTCAAGAACGATTTCAGAGGAGCATGGAATTTAAAAATGTTACAACCTACAATGATTGGTGTTGGGGAGCTAGCAACATATTTCAGAAACAAGTGTTCCAGAGTGTTTGTGATGCTCTGATAGTATATGGCAGCAGAGAAATGATTCTATTTGGGGGCTAAAGTTCTTAGGCATGAAATTCTTGTAAATAGAATTGGTTTTGAAGTGTATCATAAGATTAGTAGTGTTTGTTTTTGTAAAGTAAGAGATAAAGATTTAGATTGGTTGAGGGGCATATTCCTAGGGGTTTAGTAACCTCGGTGTATCCTTTTTGTGTTGATTAATAAAAAAATTTCCTTTTTCTCAATAAAACTAAAAAAATTCCTTTTTCAATCATATATCATCTTCATTGTCGTTAAAAATTTACATAAAATTTGGAGAGAAGTTTCTCTAATTTTTTATTTTTCTTAGAACTTAAGTGATGTGAAAAAGCTTTATTGAAAATTTGTATTTATGTTAGAAGAGAGGGAAGATAAGGGGGTCAAAGAATTGAATGCTGAATGTGAATAATTGAATTGAAAGATGGAGGGAGAAGAGGAGAAGATTTAGGAAATTTAATTTGTTATTGATTTAAAATAGAGATTACAAAATATAAAGAGTTATTGAAAAATAAAAGGGGAGATGAAGAAAATTTCTTTGAAAACATAAGGAAAGAGAATGATTATAAAGAAAGGTGAAAGAGAAGGAGGACATGTGTCAACTTTGATTTGTGTTTTTAAATACTTAGTATAGATAGATTATAAATGTGACCATAAAAGCTAGATCAAAATAGATATTATATACTACAAATATTTATACAGCAATACAATTTTGTCAGATACTTAGTGCATATACGATACTTATGCACTATAATAATCATACTATGAAGATAAATTGATATATTCAGCATTTTGTACATTTATTTGCTTTTAAATTTGGTTGACGCGTGTGTAGCATACGGCGGCCCAACTCATCGCGTAACAAAAACGAAGTTGGTTGCTGAGAGTGAGGTGCTTCCTCCACTCATTGCGTCTCCTGAAGAATTCACCTGTTGATCCCAAAGGCTTCGCCATTTTTTCACTTTCTCTATCTCTTCAGCAAAACACTTTTCTGGGACTTTTGATTTTGGTATGTGAAATTAGAGGCGAAGAACAATTACAAGGATGGAGATGAGGGATTTTGGGCTTTTGCTTATTGTTTATGATCTGGACTTGAAATGTTAAGCGTATGACAAAACAATTCTTCTATCTATAAATATTATATGGAGTATTAAAATAAGTCGATGACATTAACCTGGCCTGACTCGTACTCGATTACCTGTTTTGTGATCTGAATTGGACCCAAATTAGCAACTCGATTATCCAATTTGACTGCACCTAACTCGATTTTTGACCTGATATCTGAAGTGACCTGACCCGACTACCCCCGAAATGAAGTCAACCTGAAATCCAAAGCGACACAACCTGAAGTTACACCATACCCGAAGTAACTTGACCCGATTATAACCCGAATTAATTAACCCGAACATACTCAATAATCAAAGTGACCTGAACTAAAATTACCAAATATGTTAAGTGACCCGAACCAAAAATACCTAATACCCTAAATGACATAACCTATTTTATCCCGAATTACTTGACCTAAACAAACCTTGGTCGAAATTAGCTTGAACCAAAAAAAAAAAAAAATAAATAATTAAAAAAAAAAAAGAAAAAGAAAAACCAAATAGCACAAAAGGTAAAGCATAATTGTATAATTGCATATTTTATGTATTCATTTTCTTTCTCCCCTTTTCTCCATTGACTTAGTTTTTTTTTTTTTTTTTTTTTGGGGGGGGGGGTAGAAAACAAACAAACACAAAATTAGACCTCTTTCCCAAGCGAAGCTCCTAGGAAGTGAGTTCTAGCCAAGACACGACTAGAACATTGACAGGCCTGGTCCAACATGATAGGCCTACAATACTTCTTCCTAACATGATAGGCCTGGTGGATAGATGAGTCGATGCTTGTTTTCCACTTCTTCTTCTTTTTCAAGCTAGGAGCATGACTACATACATCTTGTAATCCTGCTGGGGCTCCTGAGTCTTGACCGTTGTCTCCTCCTTACTATTGGGTGTCTTGTCTTCTTGTTGAAAGCATTGTCCTTTCTCTTCCTCACTTCTACTAATAAGTCTTATAACAAACTAGCATTCTGGCCCGTTCGATGCACGAGTTGTTACTTAGATTATTTTTACACGTAGGTATGCTTTTCAATAATTGAAACTTTTGGTATAAAATACGAAATAGTTGTTTCAAAACTATTGAGGTGAATGAAGTTCACAGTTAAAACTTAAAACAAACAGATAATGAGTGCGGAATTGTGGAAAAGGAGGAAGGAATAATTTAATTAGGTATATATACATGGACATTGTGGGGATATGAAATGACATATTAGTTTAAGTTATATTTTAAGTTTAGGAGATGAAAAAACTATTTTTTTTATTGTAATTCATATGTTTATTAATGTGTACTAATTAGTTCAACTTTATTTTATTATGGTGGAAATGAAACACTCAATTTTCTTAATTAAATTTGCAAGTTAAAGAATGCATAAAGACTTTAACATTATTTTATTTTAAGTTTGATATTACAAATGGTTTTTACAAAGAAAGGTTAAGAGAGGTGACATGTGGCATATGGGGGATTTCTAGTGACATGTGTCATAGAAGTGTGGTTTGTGTTTTTAAATACTAAGTATCGATAGAGTGGTGAAAATATTGAAAAGGAAAATTTGCCAACTACTACCGTGTATTAATGCCGCTTTGGAAATTACTACCGCAAATTAAAAAACTTGCAAATTACTACCGCAGAAAGTTTTAAAAATTTGCTATGACTACTAGACTCGACTCCACTTTAGGCCAATTGTGATCTCACGTTTCCCCACGTTTAACCCTAGTTAAGCAATTAAACAACCAAAAAAAAAACTCCTTCTGAGGTTACCCAATTTACCTAACCCACATTTCTCTCTCATAGCTTTAATTTGACCCTTTGACCTTCAACCTCCATTAGAACATAGTCTGCACTTTGACCCTCCTAACCTTCTTCCTAGATTCTCTTTGGTCAAAGACTTCAAAATTATAGCTTTCAACCCCTACACTTGCATTTCTAACCTATCGAACTTGTACCCCTAAACAAAGGCACGCATCATCTTGTAAGATTTTTTTTTAAAAAAAATTCCAAATCAAATCACATATTATCATTATGTTTAATTGATAGCTTAATTCAAAGAAAAATATAAAAGCCTATGTTAATCAACAAAAATCATAATCCATAGACCCTAAATTGCAAAAACCCTAGAATTCACAAACGAATTTATTAGAGGCAAATTACACATTTATATGGAGCAATAGGAGGATAGATGAGACGAATTAGTATCAATTTTGGAGGAGGAAACTTGGAGGGATTTCAGCAATGGTGAAGGAGGAAGAAGATTGATGAGAGAGAAAGAAAGGAAATGGGGGTTTTAGCTAAGTTAGTTAGATGAGGTAACCATGGGTTAGCGGGGATTTTATTAATTTATTTATTTTTGGTCGTTTAAATGCTTAACTAAGGGTCAAACATTGGTTAAGGGGAAAAATAACGTCATAAATGGTCTAAAGTGAAGTCTGGTAGTGACTATTCAAAAAAAAAAATAAAAAAGTGAAGTTTAGTAGTAAAATAAATATTTAAAACTTTTTATGGTAGTAATGTACTAAATTTTTATTTCGCGGTAATAATTTTCAAAATGACATTAATACGCGGTAGTTATTGGCAAATTTCCCTATTGAAAATCAAAAATCAACAAACATACTACAGTTATAGATGTTTTAATTGTATTTTTGAAACCGAACTTGACATGATATTTCTTCTTCAAAAAAAAAAAAAAAAAAAAAAAAAAAACGAAAATCAACCCAACTTGAAATAACCAGACCCTAAACTGACCCGATTATCTATTGATCGAACATAACCGATTTCTAAAGTGACCACATCCGACCTAATATATTTAAGTTGTTATGTATAATATCACAACATAATATTAATCAATTTTTATAAAGTTATTCTTTAGTCATACCCTTCTTTTTACCACATTAACATGATTCTCTACGATAATGTTTTATTTACTTGAAAAATTAATCATATCTATAGCCTCTCTATTTAAATTCAATACTTCATACGTATATCTTATACCGTATATATTAATGAAAGATGATACGAAGTATATATAATTATAATTTCATTCACTTATTAATATTGTTCAACATTACCCTTCTTAACTAATTTTGATCAAACTTATAAATTTATTATGAGCCGAGACATCGACCGAGCCAATAACTAGTAATTTTATACAAAAAATACAATCTTTTTACTAAACGTTTTTGTTATCATCCTAATGAAAATCCTATACGATATCTAACCTTTTCTTGGTGACCCCGACTCGCTCCTAAACCTCAACGTGCTCACGTGATAGTTATTCGAAAGGGGCTCATTTATTCAAGTCATATTCTAACTATCATGGTCGGTATGATTGAGGAGAGATAGAGCGTGTCAATGGCAAGTTGAGTGGACAGATGGTGGAGGATGAATAGTTTGATTAAAAGATATTAACAATATTGTATCTTCAGGTTACAAGTCACTAGGGATCGTTTTGGGAAGAATGCTCTTAAAGGTGGTATTGTACCCAAACTTTTCAAAATTTAGACCATTTGGAGATGAAGGTCAATAGTTCCGATTATTGTTGCAAGTATTTCCGAAATTTTATATGTATACAAAGGGCTTCAATTTATAATCACACTACACACCCTTTGAAAAGGGTATGTGAATGTTGCTTTATTAAATGGCACCTCGTAACCTTACTTTACATTCATCAATCACCATTCATACTCAATTATTCAGGCAATGATTCTCCGCTCCTAAAATATCAAATTTTATTAGTGTATCGCTTAATATATACTTTATGCTTGCTTTCGTTCAAAAATATTGATGCATAAAGGTTAACTAATTTTCATGGAAAAGAGATTAGTGATCTTGCCATCTTGTAGCTTTGCACTTGTTTTGGCTCAACAATGAATATGGAATGCCAATAAAAGCACTAATTTATCAACAAATTACAATGAACAATTGTACAAACAATTTGTAGACATTGATACAAAAATGAGTGTAACCCTGACACATTGATAGTTATGCATATTTCGTATCTAACATACAGAGTGCAGACACAAAATATGTGCATATAATAAGGGCAGATGCAAGAAAATGATCATTCACTGCCTCAGGTTAAAGTTTAGAGATGCCCAAGTTGATCCTGCACGCCACAGAAAACTCATATATCAGATACATTGGTAATCAACAGGAGAAAAAGAAAACATAGAAGTACCCCATGTTTCTAAGTAGATGGAGTCACACAACATATAAAAACAGGACAAGTCAGATACAAAAATAGGCTCTGATTCAGCTTATTTATTATCTGAACTTATATTATCCGCTTTCCCTATTACACAGCTTACATGGGAATGTATAAGATATTTATTTACTGGTGAGCTTAACTTTGTTTGAACTTTTTTGAAATTTTATTGCATAAACTCATTTTTGCCAGATCTTATCTCAAGAGAATTGAAATTATTGTCTTCAATAATCCAATATAGTTAAATCAAACAGGCCCTAAACCAATAACACCAATTAAAACAAATAATATGAAGTAATAAATAAAGTGCTGTATTCAAGAGTTCTCCCCTGTTAACACTCTAGTTACCTTTAATTTAGCTACGCCTACACCCAATGTTCAATAGTCTGTACTCTGTAATCAAAGACAATTGCTACCCAACCTAGAAATCTTTAATCACTTTAAGCATCCAAGCACTAAGTGGCAATGCTTTGCAGAAAGAAGGGATAAGTAATACACATGTCAAAAGAAAAAATTCAAGAAACATACTAAAACCCACTGGTCAACATAAAGATAGTTCTCAAACCTGAAGCATCTGCATCAACTTTGGGTGTTGCTCTAGAAGTTGGCAAAGCTTATCACGATCACTCAACAAAGACTGTGATTTGATCATTGAATAGAGAATGAGAAAAAAAAAATACATAAAAATAAATAGTTAAGAAAAATGAAGCAACAGAACAATAGCCAATACAAACCTGAATTGCCTCAGGAGAACTGAAATATTGTTGCAGTGACATTGAGGAGTCCATATGCTGCTGGGCGGCAGCATCTGACATGTGATGTGCTGCTTGTGGTTGTTGCTGTGGATATGGCATGTTCTCTTGCAATTGGGTTTGATAATACAAATGATATGAAGATATTTGAGATTGTTGCAGAATTTGCTGAGGCTGAACCTGCATCTGAATATGGCTCTGTGACATGGAACTACTTTGCTCTGTATGTCCCGAAGTTTGGATTGGAAGTCGTAGTTGCTGAGGTTGCTGAGGGCAAGGCAGTTGAGGAGGTTGTAAGGGTTGCAAGTGGGAAAGCGGTTGCATAGATTGCATTGAGGATTGTGGGGCATGGCTATTCTGAGTTATGCCAGTTATATTATCACTTTGTTGAATAGCAATATTCCCGTGCATAGTAAATGGAATTGAAGGTGGCCTGCCAAAACCCGGGGGAATAGGCGGAGAAGCATACTGAGAAGCATCAGTTCCTGCATTATTTTGAATATACATCGAGGATTGGGATGTAGGAGACCTGGATGGAACATTCAATGGAGTAGCTGAGAAAGGAGGGGGTGTAGGAGGAAGCGGTGGCATAGGTCTATTAGAGCTCCCAGGGGAAGGGTGAGTGGTCCGTGCATAGCGTGAATCCGATATGAAGCTGGAAGATCCTAATGATGTGGGGACATTGCCAAAAGAAGAGTGGTAATCATTCTGTGCCTGCAATAAAAGAACAAATTTAGAATCCACAATAATGAGATAAAAAAATTCTTTCTACACAATACAAATATAACAAATCCCTAGCATCTCCCCCCTCTTTACAAAATCCGAACAAGCAGAATTGAGGAACACAATATCTTCTCTTACATAATTTGGATACAGAGGCGGCTGCACATCATTGTGAGGATTCACGAATGGAGATCTGGAGGCTGGGTTTTCAGAGACCTGTGATCTTAAAGGCGAAATTGTTGATGGAGGTGGTGTTGGAGGTAATGGTGGCTGAGTTGGCAAATGTTTCTGCTCATGGAGACTTTGTGATCTTCCACCCGACACATTCCCAACCCTTTGAAGATTATTATCAGGAATAAAACTGGGAGGTGGCACCCTTGAATCAGCTGGTACCTGAATCCTTGATGGAGAGCCTTTGCCATATACCAAGGCGGAGAATCCAGAAGTCTTTGCTCCTGCAACTGAATCAAAGCCAACAGAAATCATAGCTGTATTTTTGTTCTTCATCTCATCTGGTTGCTCAAAATATTTCTTTTCTGAAGAAACACTGGGTTCACGTCTCAATTGAATCCCAGGACGTGATACTGACATTCTAGAGGAAAGTTCACTTTGTGTATTCTCAACTGCATTTGAGGCCACAGTTGCTTCCAGGTCCTTGGCTTCACTCTCTGATTCTTCAACAATTGAATGTTGAGGACTTTGCTCTGCTGAAGCAGATGCAGTCTGCTGTATGTCATCATCTGCTTGAGGAAAAGGCAGTTTATCATCAGGTTCATTTTCCTCAGCATCAAACACTATATCAATTCCTTGAAGATCATCATCAAGATCAACTTTGAGCTGCTTAGATCGGCTCGACTTCTCCATATCATTATCAGACTCAGGCATAGCCTTTTTCCCTTGAGATGCAGCCTCTACACCTGCTATGGGAACAGCATTTTGACGCTCCCTCTGCCTTGCCATGAATTCATCAACATGAATAGATGGAGGCCGCCCACCAGATGACCCCAGACGTGGAACTGCAATAATATTGGGATTTGAACTCTCATTTCTTTCTCTGGCAACATAGTCATCCACGTGCATAGACGGGGGCCTGCTTGTATTTGGCTTGCGTTGTCGAAAGGTGTCTCTCCGAGTTGGAATAGAAGGTACCACAGATGGCCCAGATCCGCGTACATCGGCTGGAGCATTTTCTCCTTTTCCATGTCTGTTGGCTCCATCCACAGCTGATATTTTTCTCTTGCCAAGAAGACTAGCCTGCGACAATCTATTGCGCAAATTTTCAGAGCACTCCCATTGGAATTTATTACCAAACTCTCCAAAGTTCCATTCATTTTCAACCCTTTCTGAACTGCTATCTGTTAGCAAATGTATCTTTGAAGACAGTTTAACATCAGATGACAACAAGAGAACTTCCTCAGAGATAGCATCATCCTCATTAAGTGAATCAATAGGTTTCAGCAGTACTAAAGAAATGCATTTTGCAGATTCCACAACCTGCATATTACCAAATTATGTGAGATCGTTTGAAACATTAGCATGTCTGCGAAGGGACATAAGCTGAAGATAAATGAATAAAACCTGATGCAAGATTGCCTTCAGATGTGATGAACCCGCATATTCATCAAAAGTTATCTTTGAACTCAACAGAGAAGACATATCCTGGACATAGTTCATGTTTTCTTCTGGAACACCAGTTGTTCCATCAACATCACTCGAAAGCCCAAAGAAGTACTTCATGACATCAATTCTATCCTTGTTGAAACTGGACGAAGAAATTCTTTTAGTATCCAAAAGGTGAAGCCATAACTATCCCAGCCGTTTAGCACTTGTCACTTTTTTGACAGCAAAGTACTAAATGTAAAAAGCAAGTGGACATAAAATTGTATGATATGTTGTTAACATACAAAACATAAAGCATCAGCAGCGGTGCTGAAACCAACCTATAGCAACACTCACAATACAATCAGATACACAATAACAATACTGCATATGTTAGTGAAAATTGCACCATTTTGACTTTCTGCAATATTTAAAAATTTACATTGACTATCTTTTACTGATATATAAACAACAAATGGCATTATATAAAAAGTTATTGGATTCCACAATGCCCATTCTCAAAGTACAATAAAAAATTAAAGATATTAATGGTCAAAATTGAGGGTTGACAAACGTGAGTCAAAATGGTACAAATGTTACTAAATGGAGGAACTATATATTTTGTGCTTCCAGTAACAAGCTTTGTGTGTAATTCAAGTGTATGGACCTGTGAAAGCAATCTTTGGTCTTAAGTCATCAAATTCAAGTTTTACTACTACACATGAAATAATCGCTGAATAACGAAAGTTCATGTGGACTAAACCAAAACTTTTTCTTTTCTTTATTTTTAGTGCAACTGCAGTATCTAATAAGTTTTAAGAGCAAATAGCATGAACATTTATCCCGGAGTCACATCTCTCACAAGTCCTAGCAGTAAAATATTACCACACCCTTCAAATATTAAGCTCTCAGAGATATGTTCCATAACAGTGTTATCAGAAATGCCTATGATCCGCAGAGACTGTGGACAATGATACCTGTTTGGAAATTACATGTAGTTTATTTTCTTCCAAAAGAAAAAAAATAAAATAAAATTACATGTAGTTTATTTCTCTTCCATTAATTTACTATAACTTAAGGGTATATACAACTTTTGAAGCTTTTTGTTTCTTGTCTATTGATCTAGACTATGAATCATTTCATCATCATTATCCCCAATAACTTTTCATCACAATGATAACAAAGAGCCTATTTCCAGAAGACTTGATTTTTAACAGTTTGAAGGGTTGGAGAGAAATGGCAGGAAATAAAACAAGCAAAGATAATCACCTTTTCCCAGTCATACAAAATCTCAATACACCATTTGACAGCAGACCAATAGCTTCTACGGAATAGGTGGATAGACCCTCATTCTCAATTGATCGGTATAAATTAATCCAGCACCGTAGCAGAGGACATTTCTTCCATTCAGCATCAATTATGCGATTATAAAACTCATGACTTTCCTGTGATCTTCCTGATTGGATTTCGCTGTCATTACTGGATCTGATAAAAAGGAAGATATCGAGCAAAGCACTCTGACCTTCCGCATGAGAGGCTAGTTCTTTGAAAGTGGCTAAACAAGCGAGCAATTCACTACCAGCTGGTAGATGCTGCAGTTTCCCCAAAAAAATGACAATTATTTAATTAATTAACGGAAAAAAAAGCATATAATAAGCATAAAATATAAAAGCAGATGATACAAAGACAACAAAATAGTGCACGTTCTACCGTATCTCATGCTGAGAACATTATGCAGCAAGAACACAATTGCTTTGCATGAATGCATTAGTAAACATGAATAGCTGTTTTGCATGAATGCATGATGCATTGGTTAATACTACTTCCGTTCTTTAATAATCATAGCGTTTTGATTTTCACGCATGTTGATGCAAAGATTTGACCAATAATAACTTTAATTTTGTAATAGTATAGTTTTATATAAAGTTGATATTTAAAAAATACACATCGAGACTAATCCAGCTTTTTACAACATTAGTAAAATTGTTTTTTCAAATATTAATACAAAAAATATAATCAAAGTTGATTTAGGCATAGTGCAAAAGTCAAACTACTACAGTAATAAAAGAATAAAGGTAATACGAATACTTCCTTGCATAGATGCATCAGAATACTATCTCTTTTAGTTTGTTCCACCCACTTACAATAGACTTGAAAACTAGGAAAATTTTGAAATACGTGGGGGTTTAACATAAAACAGGAAAAAGTAAGGACCCGTTCGGTTGACCTTACTTTCACTAATTTCAGAAAAAGAGATAAGATAAGTTGAGGAAAAATAAGTTCTAGTAAGTTAAGACAAGGGTTGATGAAGGCTAGGTCAAATAAGTTTTGATAAATTCAAATAAGATAGATAAGTTTATACTTCCTCCATTCTTTTTTAATTACAATGTTGGTGTTTTCACGAATTACACATTAGTAAACTTATTAAAATTTAATATTATGAAAGTATAAAACAGGATGAATCAAACAAGACCTCATATGACTTTGTTTTTCCTAACAAATAAATCACAAAGAGCAGTTAGAGGAGTGTGTGTGAATAATGCAAAATCTCAAACGTTGTGATTAATAAAAAAAACAAAGGAAATTTTAATCGGGTGAATAGAACACACCATATGTAATATAACAATGTGGGTAAATGTAGGAAAAAGGTGAAAAATGAAAGAGTGAATGGAAAGCTGAATAAAGTGTGGGGTAAGAGGGGTAAGATTGTTAAAGGATTTTTGTATAAAATGGAATAAAGTAAAAGGTAGAGGGAAAAAAGTAAAGAAAAACACATGCACACAATATTTAATAGAAATTGAGTAGTAAAAATAATGATCGGGGCGGCACTTGTTTTGCATTAATGCCATAGCATATATGAATCTCTGAATGAAATATAGCTTGCTCCCAGCGCCTCAAATTTGACTAGTAGCTAGCACAGCACCAAGTATGGATCAGGGTGCCACGAATGCCATTAATTACCCTTTAATTACCAGAAATGTCTCAGTTTAAAAGTGCCAAAAAAAACCCATTAATGGCACGCATTGCACCTACTAGTCAAAATTCGAGGTGCTTGGTGCACCCAAAATATGGTTCATGTTGGACCATTTTTGCCTATATTTCACTGTAATTTAAAACAAAATATGGTGCACGGATAAATAAACAGAAATTAAAGAATGTGTAAAACTGCAAATACCTGACAGAGTCTTAACACATAGCTAAAGATTACAGCAGAATCTTCAGTACTCAGGGTCTCATTGCTACAAAAAATAGCAAAACTATATAGTCATTCAATCCTTTACCTTATGCATTCAAGTAAAACAAATAAAATTATAAAAAATTAAAAGTAAAAATAAAAAAGGTAAAATGAACAACTGCCACATCTCTCAAATAAGATACAGAAAGTTTTATCTAACATATAAAGTGAGGGGTGTTTTGGGATTTAAATTTCACTTTCCCAAATTACCCTTTCTTACCTTTTTATAAAAACAACTACCATACTAAACTTATTTATTTTTTTAAAAAGAAAACCCTCCATCCTATCCTATTTTTTAGGAAAATACAATTATACATGTACTTATCAACTGTTTTTTTAGTAATATACTCTATGACTTCATCAACTGTTTTTATAAATAACAATTTTTATTTTTATAATTTTATTATCAACAATTTTTATATTTGCACCTAATAATATTAATAGAACCTAATAGGTTCGTATATTGCGCACACACGCATTGCACGTGTATCTATCAATGGTAGGAAGCCCCCTGGAAAAAGAGGTGTACATGAATGCATGATCTAGTACTTCAAGTTAGAACTCGCCATTTCAGCAATTACTAATAAGTGTTTTTTCACCTAATCAATACAACAAACTAGAGCTCATTGTTCAAATACAATATCCTAATATAATATCATGCTAGTAATTCACTTAGAATCACAAAGAAAACATAGTCAAGCATGTTACTCCCTCAATCCCAATTTAATCTATACCCTTCCCTTTTATGTTTGTCCCAATTTAATCATTACACTCCCTTTGATGAGAAGAACCCACTAATATTATATTCGATGATGCATGGACTTAGATAGGAAGGTTGATACCAGTGCGGATCGGAGTATTAGGTACTCAATACAAATATTTCAGGACACGGGGACTTTGTACCGAGACAAGGCGAAGATCTTTATTTTAAAAAATATATTTTTCTTCAAAGAAAATCTATATTAAATATGAATCACTTTTACTTTATTCCTTTTATGAGAACTTCTTATTCATTTTTTTATCATCCACAACTCCACTTTGTGCCTCTGTGGTGCCTAAATTCTTTAATAAATCTTACTCTCTACCTCTCTCTTCTTTAATACTAAAGTACCCACATGTATGATCCCCAATTTTACCTTTTTTCTTTATTTGTGTAGCTACAGAATACCACTAAGCAAAACGGAGGTAGTTAATGTAAATAGGGTACCATTTTAAGATTATAAGTTAAAAATTAATATAATTAAATAGATAAATTCTAAAATTCAACACGTGAGTCAAAGATAATTGCTCATTAGTCAGAAGATCAAGGTCAAGAGTAGTGGTACATAAAACTATAAATGGACAATTGTCTTCTTAAAAAAAAAAGAAAAAAAGAAAAATGAGAGAGAGAGAGAGTTGTGTATTTCCTCTACCCATCATCATCAAGGCTTCACCTATACCATTTAAACATCATTGCCATTTACCAGCCGCATTCTCTCTTCTCCCCTCTTTTCTTTTCTTTCTCTTTGTATTCTAATGGAGTTCGGCAAAAAATTTGAGTTTTGAAACCATGGCTATTATCCCCACGCTAGGGCAACCAAAAGCCCTAAATAGGAATCCCCTTAGTCTCTCTTCTCTCCCTCTTTTCTTCTCCGGATTTCATACCTGAGCACAGGTCGTGTCTTGTCGACATGGGGACGAAGGGGTAAAGTGCCAATTATATTGTTTCTTCTTTATTCTCTTAGGCTCACAACTATAATTATTAAATACCGACAACACACTAACCTTATAAACACACTATCTGATTAAAAAAGTGATCCACGTGAATTTCCTACAATATACAAATAAAACTCTCTTATCAAATCTATCTATCCTTAAAATACAAATAGATAAGCCAACCACTCTATCTTTTAAAACTTTGTGCATTTGCTCGGTGAAAGTAGGATAGAGAGGGTAGCTTTGGAGAGGGTACTAAAGAATATAGCATGAGAATGTAAGCGAAAATTAATAATTTGGCATTCTATAATAGGGTTTGATAAGTGAAAAACTAAAAACTATTTGTTAGGTAAGTAAGCAAATTATATAGTACTTTGTAATTTAACTTTTTCTGGATATAAAATAGAGAAATGAGAATCCAATAAAGGACCTTTCCTTCTCAATAATTCTTTTACCTTCCCAAATGTATGCCTTAAATAAAAGCCTAACATAAAACGAAACCCTTTTTTTTCTTTTTCTTTAAGTTCCTTTTCATTTCTTTCAAACCAATTTCTACCATGAAAATGTGTACTCCCTCCATTTTTATTTTTTTTTCCTGTCAATTAATTCATCACATTTGAAATCTCTAAAGATTCCAATTCATATGGGAAAAAAAATACCATACAATTTTTTTATACTTCAAAACATAGTCACGTGAGATTTTGTTAGATTTGTCTCGATTTTTAGATTTTTTGTAGAAAAGCAATTACCAAAAAAATCATTAAGGAAGCTTAAGTTGTTTCAATTGTTTATGTCAAACAATGTGAGAGGCTGAGAGCAACTAGAAGAATTGGTGGTGTCATATAAATTTAAGTACAAAATAAAATTGCGGATACATATTGGTGAGCAAAACTCCGCCAATGGGTTTCCTGCTACCGGTCCCAAACCCGGATAAAGTAGGGTTACGGTAGGCCACAATGATTGAGAGTAGTACTAGCCCTACGAGGATTGGTGACATCCTGGGAAGTGCTCATGTTGGTTCATGTAGTCGACTCCATTTATGGGACGTTCAAGAAGAAGATACCTATTGGTGAGCATGGGGAATAATTAGATTTTATAAACAAATCGAGGTCTAAAATTCTAAGCCCTAGCACAACTTACTCATACTTTGAGAGAAAATATCCTGCTGATTAGTTTCTCTCTCTACTCTGAATAGATTACTTTATATGCTTTCTTCCTATATACGAAACCATCCTCATAATATTCTTCCCTCCCACTACTACACTTCTAAGTAGCACCGAGACAGATACAGAGACAAAAACGGGGACGGGTAAGGGGATGAAAAACAAAAAAATTAAAATTTACAAAAACGGGTACAACATGGATATGGCATAAAATTCTGAAAATTAAATTTTAATGGTTATTATTACGGGTAAGGGGATGAAAAACAAAAAAAATAAAATTTACAAAAACGGGTACAACATGGATATGGCATAAAATTCTGAAAATTAAATTTTAATGGTTATTATTTTGTAAAAAATTTTGTTGACGTTTAATTGTTACAAGGTATTTTACTATTATTATTTACTACTAGCTAGAAAAAATAAATAAATTAAACAATGATTAAAACAAATGAAAAAATTCAATAAGAAAAGTCAAAGGCTGACATCTCAGATTTAAATAAATGTAAAAGCGAAGGATAAAAGCCAAAAGTAAAGGGAATTACGTGGAGGTATTCTGTTAAGTGTCAACCCCAATCCACATACAAAAAAAAAAGTATTTACCCCCACGGCCCCACCTACTTACTTCCTCCGTTCTTTTTTACTTGACCCGCTTTGACTTTTACACTATTCACCACCCCTCCTTTGACCGTCTTTTGTGAATAATATATAAGGAAAAACATATTCATGTGGGATCTTTTTGAATTCGTCTCAACAAGTACTATCATAATATATAACTTTTATAATTTTTACTTGTAGAGAATTAAAGTTATTTATCGTTAAAGTTTTGCATTGGCAAGCGTGATAAAAGAAACACGTCAAGTAAAAAAAAAAAGAGGAAGTATGAAGCACGAAGCAGCAGGGGAAAAAGAGGGAAAAAACAAAACAAGAGGTTTCAGTCACCAGTGAAGGAGAAGACCGCCTGGAAGGATGACCTGCCTGGTGGTGGTGGGTGTTGAATCGGCAACTGGTGGTGGTCGCTTCAGTCTTCACTTCAAAGTGAGAAAGAGGGATTGAGAAAGTGAAAAGATGGAAATTACACAATAATGAACTTGGGGACGCCAAATATGTTGGGATCCGTACCCAAATGTTGAGTGCGCCGTACCCAAATTCCAGTGCTGTACCCAAACTCGGGGACGTATTTTAGCCGTAACAGTACCCAATCCGTCCCCGGTACGGGAAACGCCAGGGAGTTGCCGTCCCCGTGCTCCCTAGCTACCCTTCCCTTCACCAATCTTTAACTAACAAAAAGTTGAATTATTTTGCTAACCTTGGCTGCTTTCTAGCATATGCGAATAGAATATATAAGGTTTAGATGAGTTCTTTACAATAGTCTCCTCTATATCTTGATTTTGAGCCTGGTAGATCATAAAACAGTGGGTTGAGACTAGAGACTTAGAGGGGTGCATACATTATGAGTTACGTTGAACCAAGACCCAATGGCCCTAGTTTTGTTCATGCCAGTGTAGCTTAGCCTTAGCCAAAGATTGTAAAGCCATTTGATCTTTCTTGCATAAGAATTTCAATCTTTAGATTTCTTGCCATTTTAAATTCTTCTTTAGTGTTTACTGAGATGACAGTTATACACCACACCCCACAAACTGCTATTTTCTGTTATCCTAATCCTTTTCAGTATTTGATTTATATACAAGTTAGTATATAATTTCTACCCATCTTTTTATGCATCAGTGTCACACAAGCTAGTCATTAATGTTGAAATAAGCTATGATATTTAAATAAGCTGAGGAAACTTTTTCATCCACTAACCTATTCGACAAACGGTGTAGCTTTTGAGCAAATCGAGTTTCACATATTAAAGACAAGGACTTCAGCACTGGGAGGCAGCAATTATAGATACTGAATCCAGAATCTAGTGAGCTTCTTCCACTTGAAACAGACTTCACATGAGCATCAATTTTTCCAAGTACTTTTGTCATAATCTGAAGAGAACCTTCTTTCAGTAGCAATGACTGTTGAAATAGAAAATCAAAATCAGCAAAATTGCAATAAAAGAGGTGATTAGGCCTACAAAAATGGTAGGTAGGAGAAACAACCTTAGCAAGTGGATGTTCAAGCAAGAGAGAAAGAAAATCTAACAACTTGTACCCCTGCACAAACAAAATGACTCATCAAAAAGATATTCAGCACATCTAAAACAAGACAGTGCAAACAGTTAATCAGATCACCTTGTATGCATCTATCTCATCCAGAAGTGAACTTCCAATCAAGTGATTCTGAATCCAAGAAATAATAGGCTGCAGAAGTAACATTGCAAATTCTGTCCTTTGACGTGCAATACGAAGAATGAGTATACGAAGCATATCTTGTACCACAACCAACGACTACAGAAAGAGATAGAATCAGACAAATGGACATAAGGTGAGACATATAGATGCTAGCGTTGCCAGTTGAATGAAATAAAAACTTGAAGACAAGCTCTCTTCCGGCAAAAGGAAACCCCCTTTATAAACCCCGTCCCAAGAAAAAATGGAATAAAGATATAAACCATGATATCAGAGAAATACATACGCTAACAGCATAATGAAGGACAACTTGTGCAATTTTGTCCAGGTGCGGACTTAATTGCCCAAGAAGAACCTCAACATATGGGTGCTCTAGGTACCAGTTCACTTTCGTCTCCTTTAAAGGTCCTAACAGTGTCCCAACAGCCAACGATCGGGCAGCTGTTAGCAAGGGCATACCATTCTTCCAATGCCAGATACCCTCGTCAGGAAAGAGATCAATCTGAAAAGAAAAAAAAGAAAAATAAAATAAAAAAAAAACGAAATAACTCAAACATATGTACGGTTCTGCAGTTTTGGACATGACAGTTGAATGAAGAAAACAAAGCAATCAAACCACTATAAATGAATGCGAACATTAGAAGAGCAAAGAGAAAAGCTTCTTTATACACCAAAATAAATATATAAAATTCCGCCACATTGTTTTAGATAGTCGTGTAGCAAAAGTTTACCAGCCAATGGACCAAACAAAGTTACATACCAATAAATACAGCATGCTGAAAGTTTCCTTCGGACCCAATGTCAGCAATGAAGCTGCCTGAACACTATCAAGAAGCGTGTGGAAAAGACCCGGAGCCCAAGCATGTGCAGGCCAGCAAGCAAGAGCTGACACAATTAGATGGCAAACTGTTTCTAAACCAAGTGCAGATTCAGGATAAGATGAGGATAGATCCACAGAACAAGCCGCTAATTTGGGGCTGCAAGATGTAAGAATTTATATTCCATCAAACAATGTTAGTGCCACACTTTCCAATTGGAGACCAAAAGAAGGGAACGCCACAATTACCTAAACTCACGGTGCAGCCGGAGAAGGACATTCATTAGTTTGGTGTTTCTATGCTGCTCTTTTGCTTCCTACAAAAGTAATTCCATAATTATAATAATAAATAATAAAAATAATAATAACAATAATTATATATTGCAAATATAAATAAATGCAACACTAGGGAAAATATGCATGCCATCTCATAAAAAATAGCATTATACATAAAAATAGAAGAAAGAGAGCTGTCAAAAAAGAAAAAAAAAAATAAAAATATATATATATATATATATATATATATATATATATATATTTTTATCTTACCAACAAATGCAAGGTAACATTTAATGAAGCGTATACAGTGTCTTTTAGATAAGAATTAACTCACCAATTTATAATAAAGCTTTTATTACACCTGGCTTTTTTGTAATATTAGTGAATTTGAGCAGCACTTACAGCTCAAAAAAGAAATATAGCTAGACTGAAAGGACATAAAACAAGAAGAGGACCCTATTAATGCTAATCAAATTAAGTTGATTTTAAACTCCCACAAATAAATAGGTTTTCATTTACCAATTCCTTGAGATATTAGTGATACCAAATTAAGAAAAAAAAATTGGAGAATATTTTTCCTAGGTTACGACACGCTAAAAAAATACTCCAACAGTCCAACCTCTACTATATTCCACATACAAAGTATATTGAATGCAAGATGGGAACACAATCTATAATTCAATAGTGATGTTAACCACCACTTTTTGTAATTTCGACAAATAATCTAGTTTAATTTGAACCTCGTATCGAGTTAAGTACCATCAGTATGAGTTTCCACTTGTGCAAACAGGATGAAAATCATATATACCAAATATCTAGCTGAAGATGATTTTTAAAATTAATTGAGCTATAACCTTTAATCTTTGCAGAAGCTCTATAAGTAGTAGAAGCGAATGAATTAAGAGATCAATCAGGTACTTCTCTCGGTTACGCTCCAGCAATAGATCAGATGTAGAACTGCACTCTACGCCATCATCAACAAGATAATCTGTAACAATAACAAATTCAATCACACCAGAAGTAAACTCTACCCTAAATATTTAAGTCCTGTGAACATTGAAGCTACTTAGTCCTAAAATAAAGTCCATAAATTCATAATGAAAATGTCAATCTTCATATATTAGACATAGCACACACTACTATACTTCCTTGTAAGAGATGTACATCAATATACCATCAAAATCAAAAGGGAAATGTCATAACAAATCAACACACTAACAAGACGTTAACAGAAAAGGCTCGTTGAAATTACAGAAGAGAATCAATACCACAAAATTATTTTTGGAGGGTTTTTTTTTTTTTTTTTTTTTTGGGTTTCAACAGCCAAAGCATAGACTTACTACAAAGAATTTTTTTTAAAAAAAACGTATTTCTTCCTACCTTCTTTGTTCCCCCACCCCCCCCCCCCCATCTTTTCAATTATATACACAGCAATTTATTAACTATACTACTTGTAATTGTTACGACATCAAGGGGGAAAAAATCAAATATAAGGGCGGGGAGCATTATTGAAGTGTGGAAAAAATAAAACATTAATTTTGTGATCAAAAAAGAAAAAAGTTTGTTGACTTCTTAATTGCCTCACTGGGGCACTAACAGAAGCCACCGGTCATCAAGAAGATTAGGCTTACATCACCCATTTCAACAAAGTAATTACCATAATTATTGGAGGATTTTTCAAGCATCAATCTGGAGTTGACAAGGATTATATAGACAACCGTCATAGCACCTTCATCAAACAGTGAAGTAGCAACATCCTGTGAAAATAGTAACAAGAGAGAATTTAATGGAGCATATAAGACTTATTGTAAATACTGTCAAGCATTTAACAATTTCCAAGTCCTACTTTATTGAACATTTTACAGGTCCCATTCTAATGTAATGAGCATCCTGTATTCAGCAAATGTTATTCTATGTTCTGTGTGCTATGTGCTGTGCAGAGATTGAATCAGAATCATCATGATGCAGACAATACAAGTAAAGTGCATATAGACACCCGATACAACAACAAGAACTATTTAGCACAAGTTCCACCATATGGAAGAGAGTAGGGAGGTCCAGAGTCTCCAAACTCTAGATAATACGCACGCTAGAAAGACAATATGTTCCTACAAAATGTACACTGCTAAATTCCATACCGCATTCTCAGAAATGAATGCCAAAATCCTAATTGCTGTGATTAACTGAGCCACTGACGAATCACGAAGCACAACCCCATCAAACGACTTGTCAGAAACAAGTTTCCCAAGCAGACTTTCAACAACATTGACATCGGATTCATTAGAAGTATCTCCAACGACATCCTCCACATCCATTGAGTCTGAGACCAGAATGTTTGTAGAAGTTATTTTAGCATCACCCCCTGAAGCCAAAACAGCTGCATACCGTAGAAGACCAACAGCCCCATTTTTATGGTAAACAACCCCAGCATCTATCCACTCCAAGAGCCTACTAGGGGCATCTTTTCTATTAGACCCAGGAGAAGAAGAATGCAAAGCTTTATGGAGATCAGTTGCATGGTCGATCCAAACACTCACTGAAGATGTAGTTGGATCCGTAACAATGATCTCACATATCTCAGCAGAAGCATGAAAGATAGCAAGATTCAAAGGTGTGCCTGAAAGCCATACAACAATATGATTTGTCAATGACAAGATAAGAATATTACAGTAGAAATGTGAATCTTATTACAAAAATATTATATTATAATACCACAGGACAAAGAAACTGTTTCCAACTCCTTGGCAGAATGCAGTGCTTCGATCAAAATAGTAAAAGCCTGCAAATTCAAATAAAATATAATTAGAGTGATTATGTTTTTGCATTATCATGTATATTAATCATGTTTATGAATACTACATTGCAGAAACACTCATACAAGGAATTCTTTAATTTTATGAAGGATAATTAAAATGTCTGAATTGGCAAAGGCAGTTCATTCATAATAAGTGTGTCAGATCCACAGCATGTAGACCATTACTCCATGATTCATACAATAAATAATGAAATAATTATACTACATATATATACTTCATCTCATAGCCTTAAAAGAGTTATCAATAGCAAATCATCCTTAATTGAACATATAATCAAAGAGCTACCCCTACCTGCAGAAAATACAAACAACTAAACCATATTTATCCATATCTTTAATCTATTTTTATCAGTCAAATATTAAATAATAACACGTAAACGCATATATATATCCACATATTATTAGTGTTTTTTCTTCTCCCATGTCTACATAAACATTTGAGTAGAAGCAATCACAAGAAGAGAAGAATGCTTATAATTGAGGATAAACAAGATTTACACGCTAAATCTTACATTTAACCGATGGAAACAGTTTAAAATTTTAATTTAAAAAGGAAATATAGACATACAAGTGTTCCATGCAATTATAGTTTATCAGGAAGGAATTTCATATTTTTTTACCTAAGGCCACTAAGGGGCAATATTCAAGAATTATTCTGCTACCCCAGCTAAAATGAGAAAGAGCTCAAGTCCAGCAGCATGACAATACATACTCCCTTCTTTCCACATGATGCACCCATTCAGTTTACTCTTCATTAAAAGCTCAAAGTTTGACCACGAATTCTCACTAACATGCAAGGAGAAACATAGTCATGTAGGGGTCGAATTAAAATCATATCGACACGTTTTTAAAAATTACCTTTTCATAATTTTATGGTAATACAAAATAGGAGATATCGCCGATTAAAAAAGTTTGTTGAAAAGAGTGAAAAGGCAAACAGGTAAAGCAGAAGAACACGGAAGAAGTATCATATATCAATTCATACCTCTGGAAAGTGTGTGAGAGCCAATAATGCTTGACGCCCACCATCAGACCTACATAAAATTGCACATGTGAGCAAGAATTACTAGAAAGAATAATTGACAGTATATAGAAAAAGGTGAGATGTAATCCCGGTCCTTTTTTACTAGCAAAAAATTACAAGAAAAGTTTATATGATGGCCAATAAATTCAAACAAGAAAAAAAAAAGGGGGGCCAACAAATACACTTCCTCCAATCCTTTAATATTGAAACACTTATCTCTTTGGGAAGTTTCATAAACATTACAACATTTAGGAAAACAAAATTCTCCTTTCACATTGCAAATTACTCAACGTACACTTAGTTTTTAATACTTTTTGCTTAATTAATGCTTGAAATTACATGGACAAGTTTGTAATTTTGCCTTTATCGCACTTCCTTTTCCCCGCTACTTAAAACCTTGAGCACTCCCATCATTGAACTCTTGCCCACATCACGAAGAAATAAAACAGTGGGAGTAAGATTATGGCATGTTGTGCTTTTTACTATAACAAGAGAACAAGCAATAAGATGTTATGGCTGAGAGGGGAGGGGAATGAAAAGGTGAAGTTTGCACAGCTTAGGCTACCTGGATAGACCACAAAGCTCCCACAGCACCCAAAGAAGTTCCTCTGAACGTGGCGTTGATGTAAGCAAGCGATCAACGGCATAAACCTGGTCCACACAGAATAAAGCACCTAGAAGTTAGCAACAACCACCCCATTATTTGAAGATGAATGAGAGTAAAACAAAAGAAAGAATAAAACGATGAGGAGAAATTGGAAAAAATAAATATTCAGCAAGGCAACTAACCACCCTCAGATGCATCTCAAGGTTTATTCCAACCTCTTGCAGATGGACAAAGAACCCCTTTGATACCAAAGCAAATGCATATCGGAGAGGAATAAATTTATTCACATCGTCGTCCCCTTTAAATGCACGAATGATTGTCGAGGAAAGATCAGGATGCTGCAATAGGAAGACAAGACCTGCCAGATTTAATGTATGTTATTAACAGCACAACATAAATAAAGAATAAATAAAAGCAAAAACGAAACATTTTAACAACCTGAACGGCAAAACATAAGCGAAAGAATTGTGGCTTCAATAGAAGATGTCACATCCAAAAAAGCTTCGAGATCATGTCCTCTTTCAGCCCGCAACTCTATTGACGATATTATTGCAACTGACAAGGGAAGAAACCCCCTCTCCTACAATTAAAGCAAACCGTGTCAAATCCAGCACAGACAAACAGTGGGTTCAGCCCAATTAAAAGATTTAGAGAAAAAAATACTCCCTCCATATTTTATTACTTGCTCCACTTTTCTTTTGCGGCCGTATTTTATTACTTGCTTCATTTCTTCTTCGGGAAACCTTTTACAATATTTTATTAATAACTTTTTTCCTAGTGGATCCCCCAACTATCATACTTTAATATTTTCATATTCTCTCTCCTCCCAACTATCATACTTTATTTTTCCACCAACCCCACTTCATTCATATTTTATTACTTTCTACTATTTCTCCTAAAACTCCGCACATGGAGAAATGGAGCAAGTAATACAATACTGAGGGAGTATGGAATTTTTAAAGGCAGGCCGGTGAGAAATGATGGAAGCAAGAGAGTAAAACATCCAATGTCAATAGACCACAAACATGGAATCTATCTTTGTCTATTCTTGGAGCATGATGCCAAAGTTTTCAGATTTAAGCATAAAGTCAGCTAATAATATAATTGACTTGATATAAAACCAATTTATGTTCCTAAATTTGATCAGGTTTCCAATAATGAGTTTTCCCATAATAAATATTTATGTGCCATGCAGTAAACAGTGTAAACATATGCCTGTTTAAAAGTTAACTTATATGTGAGCAGATTCATTCTTCTGCAAAAAATTCTACGTATAGGGATCGAAATTCAGGAAAATATGATAGAACCAAACAGATACTTTTTTCTTCATGAATTGAGAAAATGGTGAAAGAAGATACATAAAACAAGAAATTACTGAACTCAAATTTAAAAACTTCCAGCAGTTAAAACAAAAGAGTATAACAATTGATATATAGTATGTGACATCAGGCCTCCACTGCTGGAACAGCAACCAAAAGATGAATAAGACTTCAATTCATATCAAGTTTATGCCCTTTGACAACTAGATCACATCAATCAATATTTAGAGCTGTGGCAAGCAGCAAGCTGTGGTGGCGGAGGAGAGTGGTGGTCGTTGGGGAAGACGTGCAGTGGTCAGAACTGGGAAGAGAGTGGGTTTGGGCAGGGAGATAGAAAGAGAGTTGTGAGGAACTGAGAAACTGTATAAAACAAAACGCAAGAAAATTGGGCGGCTGAGGAAGGGTCATTTAAAAAATTAAATTTACACATGTATGGGCACTTGTAAAATGCTTCATATATAGGGTCAAATCTGGATCTGTAAGCTTTGTATAACCCAAGCTCTTTATTACAGCCAATTCCATAAAATTCTGGAATCTTACACAGCATAAGGAAATAATTAAAAACAATATGAAAGTGCAATAGATCAACAGAAGATAATTCTGCGGACTTGATTATCAATACCAAATCTGGATCTGTAAGCTTTGCAAAACCCAAACACTTGATTTTAGCCCATTCCAGAAAATTCTGGAATCTTAACACACCATAAGGTAATATTTAAAAATAGAATGAAAGTGTAATAGATCAACAGAAATTAATTCTGTGGACTTGATTATCAATACTTTCAAACTATCCAAGAAATGTTAGAAAAGTATATTGCCTTGAGACATCTATATGGGTATATGAACTACAACTTCATGATCTCACATCGCAATACCCTGATTCTGGAAATTATTGTTTTTTTTTTTTTTTTTTTTTTTTTTTGTTTGAAACAGATTCTGGAAACAATGTTAAATAAATTAAAAGAGGACACGGAGCAAGAAGCTATCCTAGAAAAAATACCTTCAAAAGTGAGAGCAACTTTGCATCAACTTTCTGATGCAGAAAACGACAACTTGATGAGGCGATAAGTTTGCTAGATGCTTTGAAAGACAGTAAACCTTCAGGTGCTGCCACCATTAATGAACGGATGGCACAGGCTGTAGGAGAAGGATCCTCAACCCAACCAGATGAATTAATCATTTTCTGCATATACAATTGTCAACAAACAGAAAATAAGAATAAGTGCAACATTACAAGAGAACTAGATAACACATGATAGACATCCATTTCCTAGATACTACAAGACATGTAATTGGACTACATCATCAAAAATCAACAGAGCATAAAAAGAAAAACCATCCCTCCATTGATTTTTTAACACATAACATAATTAAATCAACTGTAGAGAACTTACAAATAAAGAAATTGCTTTTTTGACAGATAAAGAGAGTCAACACCTATAAACACAGCCAAAAGGTGCTAGTTGAGCACACAGCTCAACAACTGAAGTCAAAATATTTAAAATATCTACAATGCCATAGTGTAGTTCTATAATCTAAAAATTAACTGTTGTGGATTCAGGATCCTTTTATCGATAAAATTAAAGTGTATAAATTGAGCACCCTAATGGTACGATTTTTCTACATCAAATGGACTTCGCAAAATCTAGGAATTTAATTTAGAGTCAAACGGACCTAAACAAAACGATTTGATCAAACGGACCAATTAATAAACCAAACTAGAACAGCAAGATTGAGCGAATAAGCATCGCATCACACGTTATTACAAATGACAACCTAAGACTCCTTATATAGGCAATATAAAATCTAAAATAATCTCAAACCAATCTAAATAAATGAGAAAATAAACACCTACTTAGACTAGGACTTCTAACAATAATATAGATCTTTTATTTTACACACAAAATCACACCATTAAGGAATTAGTAAAACTTTGACTCCTAATAAAACATCAAAAAGATACGACTTATCCTGATTTTACTAGGATTAAGCCAATCCTAGTAGCTTCCTTGTACATCAAGCGTCCTTTATAGCCCAACAACCCTCGTACCAAAATAGCCAAATAAGCAATCCCAAAACAACAGCATATAGATAGCTCAAAGATGATGTTAACTTTGAGTATTGACCAAAGCCACTCAAATCCACGTCACCTAATCACACGTTTGACATAATCACACAATATTTACAAAAATGATTTTCTACATCTGAAATTTAGTTGTTGTGGCAATAGAATCTTTTAATCTTATTTTGGTAATTTCCTACCCATTTTGATGTTCTATAAGTACCAAAATCCAGTTGCTGCCCTCAAGACACCATCATACCCACTTTGGTAGTTTAGAAAAGTTCAATACATTTTAATTCACACCCTTAAGGCCCGAACAAATAAAAAGACCTTGAACAGGCACAGGCAACAAGCATTTTACAAATTCTCCTTAGAACTTAAAAACGTTAAGGTCACGTTTAAGTAGTCAGTTTGACATCTTATTTCCTGTAATCATCACATGATAGTTCAAACAAAAATGACATTTTGACCCTAACTTCATTATTCATGTCACTATTCACTGCATTCCATATTGCCCTTGTTTGGTTGGGAGCAGTTTCATGAGAAATTGGAGGTTTGACTACATGAAACCATTGATTCAAGTGTTTGGTGGGAAGAGGTTTGTATAAGCAGATACAACCCAAACATTTGATTTTGAAGCAGAGACAAATTGCACCTTGAACTGGTATTTAATTTTATTCACATGATAGTTCAAAGGATAGAAGTAACAATAAGTTTCCCTATAATCATTAGTGAAACATATTGAGCAATAAACTTTAATTATAAATTGACTTGGCTACTGGATAAATTCTCACATGTTCATCTTTTCAATAAAAATAAGATCTGGTTAAACAAGTTTGAAGATCAAGGCGAGCTTAAAAAGAAAACTATTGATTTTCAAGTTCATTAGATTTGAAAAATTGATGGTGAGTGATTTAGAGAAGATAAGCAAAGAATACGCCGCATGAGACTGCTTGCAGTTAGAATATAATCAATCTGTTTCATGGTTACAGAAAGATAAAATAAATTGAGAAAATAGTGAGCATTACATTGAAAGACCAAGAATGGTGGAGAAAGAGCCAAAGAGAAGACAAGGGACTGAATACAAGGGAGAACGTGAAAATAGAGAGGGAAAAAGAAAGAAAGGTCAGAGGACGAGAATATAGGCTAAAAATTAGGATGGGCTAATAATTGGGATATTTGCCCAGTTCATTGTATTCGTTATAAGGGAATAACTCCCCCCCCCCCTTCCCTATTTTTATAATAATTTATATTCCATTTCTGATTTTCTCATTATTCCTCTTTTCCTTCTTTTCCTTTTTATCTATATCTTATAAGAAGTATGTATTAATATATTATCCATAATTATCTAATTACTCCATCACTAAATAATGCACCATTTGCTTTTTCACGGTCTCCAAGGCACTACTTTGACCATGAATATCTTTAATCGTGCATAGTTAAAAATTACAAACAATTGATATTTTGAAAATAAATTTTGAGACGCTTCCAACAAAATCTCACTTGACAATATTTTCTTTAATATAATAGTGAAATATTATGGTCAGTTTTTAAAGTTTGACCTTAAAATGAGAAATAGTGCAATTATTTAGAAACACCGGGAAATTATTTTTATTGAAATTCAATTAATCTATTAATGAAAAATGCTCAACAATAAATTAAGCTAATGTCCTTATTGGTCATTTACGTGACCAAACTGATAATGAAAACAGCTAGTCAAACCAGCTATATTAATCAGTCAACTGCTAACCACTCAGGCACTCATAAACAGGACAATAAGTGGAACGACAAAACTTATTTTTTTTATTCCATGACATTAGTAAATTAATTATCAATGTACTATCACTTCTCACTTTGGATACCAAAAAAAAATTTATATGCCACCATTGAATACAAATGCAAAAGCTACTCTAGCATACAAAAAAAATTAAACAAAATTATTTAAGATGGAATAATGCATACCCTTGTAACACCCAAAAAAAAGAAAAAAATTGAACAACTTGATACTTACCAAGAGCTTCCTTAGCTGTAACTTGGCGTTCATTAACAGGCTTAAAGTCGTCGGTGTAGCATTACCATCACCTGAGAGTCCTCCCAATATGGATAACACTGCATACTGCCAATCGGAATAATGAGAATAGCTCCTTGAATCATAATTAAGCATTCAGAAGCCAGAAAATATACCTCATATCTTGAAGCAACTTCATAGAAACGCAACCGCTGAAGGATATAAGTCGCCAATCCAGCGATATCATGCCGTTGTTTTTGCATTACTAACTTTAACAGTTGGCTATATCCCTCACTAACACCAGATGGAACATTTTCACCTTCACGAGGCCACCAACCTAAGAAACCTTCACACCCAACAGAGTATCGAGTAGCTTGTTCAACAGCCCCAAGAAGCATCAATGTTACAGTCGCACTATTTTGCATTTCCGAGCTAAGAAAATGTGCAAGCTGCTCCATTCCTCCACCATTTACATAATGAAAACAACTTTCCTTTCCCGAGCATAGAATCAGAGATAAACTCAACCAAAGAAGTACATTATTACTCTGGAATGAAAAAAAAAAATCAATGGAAGAAGGGATAAGTCAGATGCCAATGTATCAAAGAATCAACAACAAACCGTGTATAGAGAATTAATAAAATGCAATACTTCCATTCATGATATTACACAGGGCCCAAAAATATAAGAGATGGAAAAAAGCATCTCCTACATTTTATAAATAATATAATAAGAAAAGGTGGAAACAAGGATTGCAAAAATATTGGTACTGTGAAATATGAGAAATACAAAGAAGCATCTGGAAGCATAATATAATTTTATGTCCTCGAGAAAAACATGACCATGGAAGAGGGCAAAAATTCTAAATCATTAATATCCAATCCATTTGACAAGACTTTCCACATCATTAGGAAAATCATACTTTACCTGCGATAAATGAGGATGTCCAACAAATGCAATATCCCTATTAAATGGGAAATGCTGGAACAACATATCCACCAACTCTTTAGAAGTGGCTAAATCAGCTTCAGACTCTAGAAAACTGCACTCTACCAAAAAATCTCCATATACATGACCTGCTTCAACATATCTTTTACAAAGATTGAAAAGATTCCTCTGAGCCTCAGTGAAAACATGAAAAGATTCTTTCGCATTTGCTAATGCTCCCAAATTTAACTCTTGCAGTATGATTCCAGCACTAACCAAATCATTTGTGAAGAAAGATGCAGCTGTTGAAGTAATTATAGCCATGACCTTCTGACTAATATCACCAAAATTTGGTATATCCAGTACCTTATATATAAGTTGCAAAAATTGCCGCATCTCTACAGAAATATCTAATGCTGGAAGTATTGAAGACAAGGCCTGCAGAGAGGAAATTGCATCCTCAAATTTAGGATTTCTAGAATGTAATAGAGGTGGCAGGTCCTCAAGCTTCGCCTCAGAAGAAGAAACAAGATTCGCAACAGAGTTGTCCAAGTCAAAGTCAACATTAAATTGCCCAAGATCTTCAGCTGTGTTTCCATATACAACCAAGCTTAGACTCCGATAACTGCCCCTCACAACCAAATGATTAGTCACCACAGCCTGACAAGCCGTAGCATATGTCAGTAACAAGAAGGTTATTCTGAAAGCATGTATGTTTATCTTTCTTTATTTTAATTTGGGGAAGGGAAGTGGGGGTGGGCACTCAAGAATGAATAAAACTCATCAATACAGAAGATGTGCCAAATACCAAACCCATGTCCACAAAGATAAATGAACGGTATTTTGGGAGGGAGGTACACAAGAATGAATACATTTAATCAATAAAGGAGATGTGCCAAATACCAAACCCATGTCCATAAAGAAAAATGAAAGGAAAACAAAAATAGTGCTTCAGCAATCCGAGTAAGGGTGAATTTAAGGTCCAGGATACAACCAAGAATGAAATGAACAATAACGTTTAAACAGAATAACAAACCAGGAGGATAAACAATGTGGGAAAGAGAGAGAGAATCAAACATAGAACAATAAGCCTAACTACCTCTAAATCTCTAATTCCTTGCCATAACTATTCCAGACATATATTTGATATCTTATATGGACATGGACACTTGACTGTAATCCTTCTAATAAAACTAACACTCAAAAACCTTGATGTGTTTATGATAGATAATTAGATATAGCTAGAATAAAGTGTAAGTAGCTTAGACATTATGGAGGCACTCTTTTAAGGTAGAACTTATTATATCCTCAATGCGCAAGGTAATGAAGTTGCTAATTGAGAGCCTTTCTATTATTTGAACAAATCTCCTTTCAAATATTTAAATGAAGTTTTACTTTCTAGCATAGATACAAGATATGTTGATGAGTAATTTAACAAGGAAGATCAAATGTTCTTAAATTTTTATAGTTTCAATGGCTTCTTGACATAAAGAATAGATTATAATTGAAAAATTCCTAAAAACATAAGTCGGCCGATAGTCTAAATCTCTAAATTCCACATATACATTCAGGCACAAGAGTTTTAAAGTTTCAAGTGCATGAAAACTAAAGAGTGAAACATTTATCGGAAAAAATTATGCACCCTTCCTTTAGGCATCAACCACAAAGTTGTCACAAAAAATATGTTTGATCAAAGGCATGTGTCCTTAGTATCTTGTGTCTCATATATTTACGTTACATAGAAGTGACTAAGCAGAAGCCACTGATGGACGAAGAAGAAACCATACGAGACTAATATCAGCATTCACCATTACATTAACAGCCATGCTGATCCATTGACGACATATTTCTATGCACTCCCTTCTTTATCCAAATATGAGGAATTCAAACGTTATAATAGCTGGTACAAACCACAATAGCATGGCACATGACTACCAAGCACATTTCTCATAGAATTTTTTTTTTATTTTTAAAATTAGAAGGGAGCTCAATTAAAGGGGAAGGTAAAGAAAATCCCTCAAATGAGCTCCATGAGATTTGATTCCCAGACTACAAGGCTTTGAGGTGGGGAACAATGCCACTACTCCCCACCTAACTCATTTCTCATAGGATATTCATAGACACTCTAACTCCAAGAGTTTAAATAAGCCCTTAACTCATAATAAACCTTCTTGAGAAACATGGAATCAGAGTTCTAGCTTCTAGCTCCGAAGAAGGTAACATAGAATAAGTATTAGAGACATTGTTGCTTATACTTCTAAAAATTTCTAATTGGAAAACCGTTCCTAAATATTGCAACATGGGGATGGGATACAGATTTTAAGAAGAGGGGAGAGATGGAGAGTAATAAAGATAGGGTCCATATGATAAGGAGAGAGAAAGAGAGAACATGTGCAAATGGGGAAATGTAGCAATATTTGTGAAACTTCCTAAAATGGTAATTGTTGCAATATTTGTGGAACAGAGGAAATAATAGACAAGGTGCCCTTAACCAAAGGAGTGAATCCTAAACCGCTAAACCTTAAGTACGAGAAAGGTACTACATAGCCACTACAAGGCACTACAAAGGAAGTAACACCCATTATAAGATCCTTTTCCGAAGAAACATATTTCTTTACATATTACCGACTGAAGATAGATACTTACTAGGATTCTCCAAAATATTACTTTCTCCATTTCTATTTACATCCAACATTTCCAATAAACGAAAAATGTCACGATACTTGCAACACACCTTTTAAAAATACTTTTTTTAGCCTAATTCACAATTTTACCCTTATTTAAGCAACTTAATTTCTTTTAATTAACCCTCTCCTTTCTTCTTAGTCTCTCTCTCTCTCTCTCTCTCTCTCTCTCTCTCTCTCCCCCCTATTTTCACCAGCATCCCACTTAACCATCCACTCTAACCTCCACCCACCTCACTGAAATCAACCCCCCACCTCCACCACTCTTGCCGGAACCACCATCAACCTCACCAAAACCTCTACCCACCTCCACCAAACCCACTAAAATCACCACCCACTGTCACTTTTTTTCGCCAAAACCACTAGATATACAAACCCTAAGAACTTCATTCAGCAAAACTGGCCAAACTACCACCACCATTTTCCATGAATTGAGTAAAATGGGGTAAATTCAACCTATGGTAGTTGAATTAGCTTTAGAAACTTCAAAGTCCTTCGCCATTATCCCCAAATCCATTAGATCTACAAAACGCATATACTTCATTAAGCAAAACCAACCAAACTTCCATCGCTATTTTCCATGAATTAAGTAAATGGGCTAATTTCAACCCATGATGGTTGAAATAATAAGAGGCTTCGGAAACTTCAAAAGCCAAACCTAACCATCAAGAGGTTAAATGTAACCTAGTTCATACTTCCTTTCTTGATGTTTTCTCTCCTCTAGTGGTCATGAAGGTGGTGATGGGAAAAGAATGAAAAGAAGATGGGTTGTTTTCATGACAATAGTAAGTCATTCAACCTTAATTTTTTCTCCAAACAAAATTGAATGGTTTTCTTTGATGATTGTAGTTTTCAAATTTTAGTTTGTGTGCAAAAAGTGTGCAAAAGTGTGCATTTGCTATCAATGTTAAATCGTTGATTTTTTACATCATTTTTACAATGATCTATGGTGCAATGGTGGTTGTAGATGTGGGCATTAGTGGTGGCGACAATGGTGGTGGAGGTGAAGGTTTAGGAAGTGTTTGGTAATTAGTAGAAAAGAGGTTATGGAGATAAAGGATTAACTTAAGTGTATTCAGTATATAGGGCCCACTCGATTCAACTCTCTTAAAATGAGTGAAATAGTGTGTTTAAATCAAATGATGAAATTTGTAGCATATCAAAATCTTAAATGCATTAATTTTACTCATTAAACCACACATTGTTGATCCAAATCAAAACACCAAAAACTAGAACTCATAAACACTCTAAATAAGGAAAATGTAAACAAAATGCTAAACTTTATTGTATCTACTAAATTAACGTATCAATTAATTTTAAGAGAATTGTCATTTCACTATAAATTTTAAAACTATGTCAAATGCTTCATTCCAAAAACACAACTTTGCGTGAGAAGACATACGTCAATGAGCACATATACAAATTTACAAAACATGAAGCATTAACTACCTCAACTTCAAGTACATTCGATGATGAGTGTGAATATAGAAATGGTTGGCAAAGACGCCTGAATCTCGCTTCCCCTTCACATTGAACAAATACTTCCAAAGCAAATGAAGGAGGTAAAGTAGCCCTGGAAAAGTTAACATTGAAGACAATAATATTCACCATTAATCATTCATGGGAAAAGACAAAAATGTCTATGAGATCATTACTACTTTAAAACTAACTTAGAAGAGTAAGTACTCCCTAAGTTCGACTAGCTTACTACTATAGACTCTAATTTCTAGGAATGCATAGAAAAAGCTAGTGGACGTAAGGAAAAAGTGAATAAAATAAGAGAGGTGGGGTAAAACGGTGGGTGAGTACAAGAAAAAGGTGAAAAAGGTAAGAAAAATAATGTTAAAAAGGTTTAAAATGTAAAATGGTGCGAATTGTGTTAGGTAGGATGGATAAGATAGTTAAAAGGTTTTTCCAAAAAATAGAACAAGTAGATTTGAAACGGCTCACAAATGGAAAGAGAGTCACACTTTTAGGGTTCGGAAGGAGTAGTTAATAATGCAAACAAGATTGATTATAATAAAACTAAAAATAAGAAGAAAAAAGATAACTAATTATTGCTTTCTAGTACATTTCGCTATCAATTGCATACATGGCAACATCCACGAGACGCCACCTTTTAGACTAGGACACTGTTACATCAAACCATGGGTATACCCACATGTGATGGACCTTAAAAAAATTACGTACTTTATTTGAATTGTACTAGCCCACTTAAAGATGTTAGATACATTAGATAAGTAATCTACCCACATGTCCTACTGATTAGGATGTTTACATTAAATATTCCTTAGTTAAATTTAAAAAGGAAAATTTGAAAAATACAACCAACAATTATACCCATTTTTTACAAAACCACCAACAATTCTTTTTTTTATTTACCACCAACAATTGTTCAAAACCTTAAAAATTACCACCTGCTTTCCTAATTCTTCTATAGTGACGTCATAGTGGGCACCACTCTTCAATTTCCCTCATTTTCCCCTTCTCTTCTCTCGATTCTCACCTTTATTCTTCCCTCTTCTTCTCTTTCTCTACTTAATTTGCGAAAAAATTGCGATTAGTGCGGCAATTAGGGTTTGAATTCACCATTCTTACTCATACCAAACAACAATGCAACAACAATTCCATCATATGCTATTAAAAAAGTGATAATAGAGGTGAGAATCGAGAAAAGAGAAATAGGAAAGGAAGGAAATTGAAGAGTGGGGCCCACTATGACGTCATTGGGCAAACATGTGGTAATTTTTAAGGTTTTGAAGAATAGTTAGTGGTAAATTAAAAAAAAAATGTTGGTGGTTTTGTAAAAAATGGGTATAATTATTAGTAATTAGGGATGTCACTGGGGCGGGTCTAGTAGGAGACCCGCCCCATCCCCGCCCCGATGGGGCGGGGATGGGTCTAGCTTTGGCGGGTCGCGGGGCGGGGATGGGTCTAAAATCCATACCCGCCATGGGTGATGGGGCGGGGATGGTTGTTATGTAATACCCGCCCCGCCCAGACCCGCCCCATACCCGCCCCGCCTGACCCACCCCGTACCCGCCCCGCCTGACCCACTCCATACCCGACCCATACCCGCTTTATACCCACCCCATACCCGCATAAGACCCGACTAGCCATAGCATAATACGATTAAAAAAAAAAAAATTACTACACCTAATGAAATCTAACCCAGTAACCCACTTACCCAATACCCACCCTCATTCAGTCATTCAATCATTCTTAAAACAAAAACCCTAGCCTCACTGCCTCACTCTCTCCTCTCACAGTCTCACTGCCTCACTGTCTCAAGCGCTGAATCTCTTCCTCAAGCCTCAAACCCCTCTCTTCGATCCTTCTTCTTCAACCTCGTGGTCCTCGTCTGCAATCAAATCTCTTCGATCCTTCTTCTTCAACCTCGATCTTGCAAGGCTGCAACTCATTCAATTTAGGTAAACGTTTTCGCGTTATTATCTTTGAATTTTCTTAATTCAATATGTTCAATTAAGAATTTCTTAATTGGGTTTTCGATTGAAAGTATGTGATTCGTCTTTTATTTATGATTTGTTCGATTGCGGTTTTCAATATTTCATTTGATTGAGCTAGGGTTTCGTGTTATATTTGTATGATACTTTCAATATAATGCAATGTAGTTGATTACTGTTATTTTTTGTATGATAATGTATGAATATGATGACCTCCAAATTTTTTAGTTTATTAGGGTTTTAATCTAGAATTTTCATTACTTGTTTTTTTATATTTAATTTCACAAAATAGATATAATAAAGTCGAAATATGTATAGATTGTAATTAGTTTTTCTCATTAATTTCAGACTTATAAGTTTATGTTTATTATTTTAGCTTATGTGTGATAACTAAATTCGGATTATGTCATTTGACCACTTATTCGATCATTATAGATTTAGTTACTTTTTTTTTTATTTAATTCATTTACTAAGATCAATCTCTGTAGTACACACTAACTTAACACACTTTGTATATAATTAAGTGGGGATGAATTTTGATTGTATTGTAGTTCAAAATATATATACTGATTTTTTACTAAATTTGAATTGAAAATGACTGGCTATTAGCCTATGAATGATGCATGGTGTGTGTGAGCGTTTGTGTTTGTATCTATGTGGCTCAGTGGCTATAAATTTGTGTTGTAGCATAAAAATTGGGGGAAGTTGGAGCAATTTCTATTGAGAATTGTTAAATAACCCAGGTAAGAATTTTCTTCAAATTTTGTTGTATTCTTTGTTATTGAGATTGTATAAAAGCGTGAGAAATGAATTTCAAACTATTATCATAGTATCATACTATTGTTGTTATACTGTAATTTAAGTAGTACTCAATATTGATGAAATTGATCACAATGTATGCAAATTGAGTTGGGGTAATGAAAATGTGGATGGATAATCTGGTGCTGATTTTGGTGGTTAAGAAAGTGGGTGTGTATAGATAGAGTGGAAGAACAGGTTGGATCTTTAATGTCGTAAGCTGACAGCTTTTAAGAATGAAGACTTTGAGACACCAAATTGTACAACTACTGTACTATATTTTGATGTCCTTGTGTTTGTGTTTGTTGTCTCCCTCTTTCTTACAAAATGAGAGTACTAAATTTGGTGATGCTGTTGCTGGCAGCCAGTATGTAGTGGTTAGTGACTTAGTGTGATAGGTGGTTAACTGGTTATGCAGCAGCAACAATATATTAACATAGCAGTTACAGTATGACATTATGCATTGATAGGCCTTTCAACATGATATCTTCCGATAGCTGTGCTAGAAGCATGATCTGCCTTTGCTGCTGTGCATTGCTAATTTGCTATTATTAATTTATTATTGCTGTTTCTGAGATGTCAAATGTGTTCAATACTGTAGTCAATATGTCTAGTGCATTAATTGTCTTTATTTAATTTTTACAGGGGAGAATGACATCTAAAAATGAGAATAACGCTAGTGTTCCCACTTCCGCTAGTAATACTCCAATTGCAATAGATGATGATGAAAGTCCTCTAGAGACTAATTCCGATCCTTCTCTCCTACCAATTACTAGTAGGCATACTTCGGCAGTGTGGTCTGATTTTAAGAGAAAGAGAGTTGGGGATGTGATAAAAGCTGAGTGCAACCATTGCTCCAAGCTACTTGCTGGTGGGTCAAAAGCAGGAACTACTCATTTGAAAGATCATATAAAAATATGTCCAAAGAGAGTATGTCAAGATCTTCGACAAACAAGAATGTTTGGTACAAAAAAAAACTTGAATGATAAGAATGACACGATGACATTGGCTCCTTACGAATTCCACCAAGAAGATGGAAGAAGAGACTTGGCAGAGATGATTATTTTGCATGAGTATCCAATTAGCATGGTTGAGCATATTGGTTTTAGAAAATATAGCAAGACACTCCAACCTGGATTTAAAGTGCCGTCTCGCAACACAGCTAGAAAAGATATTATGAAAAGATATGAGCTTGAGAAGGAGAATGTTGCAACCTTGTTGAGGAAAGCAAAGGGTAAGATTGCCTTAACTACTGACATGTGGACAGCTGACAACCAGAGAAAAGGTTATATGGCGGTCACCTCACATTTTATTGATAATACATGGAAGTTGCAAAGTCGGATCATAAGGTATTGTTTTCTGGTTACTTATAACTTGTTTATTTTTTTTGGTTGTCTTTGTATTGCTATAGTTTTTTGTGTGAATTTTAAAATCATAAGAATTATAAGTTGTGATGATGGATGATAATAATGAGCCCATATATCCACAATAGTATTGAATAGACAAATAATATATGTTATTTTCATTGGTTTTGGTAGGTTTTTATATGTCCCCGCCCCTCATACTGCTGAGGTTCTTGCTGATGCTTTGAAAGAAAGCATTCAATCATGGAATCTTGATCTTAGATTGTCTTCTATAACCGTGGATAATTGTTCAACTAATGATGCAATGATGGAAATTTTGAAAGGAGTGTTTCCATATGGCTCACTTTTATTGCGAGGTGATTTTTTTCATATGTGTTGTTGTGCTCACATATTAAATTTGATTGTTCAAGATGGTTTAAGTGCTGTGTTCAAGATGGTATCAAATGGTGTTCAAAGAATTAGGGATAGTGTTGTGTTTTGGACTGCTTCTGATAAGAGAGTACAAAGGTTTGAACAAGTGGCTAAGCAAATAACTCCTGAGTGTAGTAGAAAGTTAGCACTTGATTGCAAAACCCTTCGGAATTCTACTTATGAAATGCTTTCTATTGCTACTAGTTATAAAGAAGTGTTTGTTGTTTTAAGTGCTCGTAATAATTTATATAAGAATCCACCGACCCCTGAAGATTGGGAAAAAGTTGAGAAAATATGTGAACATTTGGAAGTGTTTAGTAAAACTACCCTTAATTTTTCAGGAACAAATTACCCTACGGCCAATCTTTATTTTCCTAAAATTTGTGCTTTGAGAATTGCTATTTCTGGTTGGCTTTTATCTCCTCATGATTATGTAAGGAAAATGGCCGACATTATGTTACAAAAATATAACAAGTATTGGGCTAGTGTGAATGGCTTAATGGGAGTGGCAACAATACTAGATCCTAGATACAAAATGGCTCTTATTCGCTTTTATTTTGCAAAAATTTTTGATGAGCATGACTTTGAAATTGAGGTTAGTAGAATTAGTGATCTTCGACGAAGATTGGTTGATGAATATGGGTCTAAGATGGGTAAAACTCAAGGTAGTAGCAACCAACAAGCTTTTGATTTGGGTAGTAGTAGCAAATCCAATGAAGAGACCTTTATGCAAGAATTTGCTGAATTTTTACAACAAGATAAGGACTCAAGTCATGATATATCAGATTTGGATAAGTATTTAGATGCTGCTAATGTGCCTCTAGTCCAAGATTTTGATATTCTTAACTGGTGGAAGACAAATGGAGGCACATATCCCATTCTTCAGCAAATAGCACGAGATATATTGAGCATTCCTGTTTCTACTGTTGCATCAGAGTCCGCATTTAGCACAAGTGGTCGGGTTCTTAATCCTTATCGTAGTCGGCTTTTACCGGAAGCTGTAGAAGCTTTGATGTGTACTCAAAATTGGATATGGGCTGCTTCTAAAAGTAAATAGCTAAAATAAAATTTTATTTAATTAATAATATTATTTATTTATTTATTTTAATTAATTCACATTGTATTTGCAGATTGTGGAGAATTTAAGGATGATGAATATGCTAAATTAGTGGGAGAATTAGAGGAAGGATTTGAAACATGTGATATCGATTCTGGAACAAGTGGACTTTGCACCGAATAATTCAAGGCCTAATGAATTTCTTGTTATGTATTTGAATATTTGTAGACTTGTAGTTATTTTTAATATTTGGACTTTGGACAATTTGGAGTTAGTGTTTTTTTTTTTTCTCTTATGTACTACTAATTTTAAGTTTTTTAATATGTAGTAATGTAGTATGTATGCCTAAGGTGTTGCACTTTATGAAAATGGTTGATCTTGCAGTGGTTTTTGTTGGATTTGAGTTAATGGGATTTGTATGCACTGCTACTTTTTCATTAGTCTACTATGAAGTCTGCAGGGTTTCAGTTGACACTTGAAACTTGAAAGACAGTTGCTTTTCTCAATACTAAGTTGGCGGGTATGGGGCGGGGAATTGGCGGGGATGGGGCGGGGGTTTGGCGGGTATGGGGTGGGGGTTTGGCGGGTATGGGGCGGGGACGGGGATGGGGCGGGGGTGGTTTTAGAGTTGGACCCGCCGGGCGGGGACGGGGATTATTTTCAGACCCGACATGGGGATGGGGATGGGGATGAAAATGTGAGGCGGGGATGGGGATGGGAATGCCAAAATCCGCCCCGCCCCGCCCCGTTGACACCCCTATTAGTAATATTTGTCAAATTTTCCTTTAAAAAATTAAAAATAAGTTTTATCCAACACATATACATTTTCAATAAATAAAACAAATAGACCACAAAAGAGTAAAAATAAGTTTAATAAGTAAAAATCAATTATAATCAAGAAAATTAGGTTTAATCAATAAAAATAATTTCAGTGTACAAAAAAAATAAGGTGAAAATAAATGGACCTTTAATGCAACACTTTCTTAAAATAACTAGACTTTTAATGCAATACTTCCTTGAATGGAAATATACTACACTATTTTATTATAGCTCTCTTATCTCATAGTCCTACTCCCACATCACTCATACTTTTTTATTAATTCTCTTATCTCGCCTCACCTTACTTTACATAAAATATTACTATCTCTATCCCAATTGACACGCTTTCCTTACGGGACTGTCCAACACACTTTTACTTCTTCCTTAAAAGTAATAGTCCCACTAATCCATATATTTTCTCTCACTTGTTATGGGTACTACTTTTTTCTAACTTTTATGAAAACAATTCAAAAAATCTCCCCACTTCCACCAACAAAAGTAATGGTCCTAAATTACCCCACCACTAACTTTTATATAATACTAAATTTAACAAAAATATGTTAAACTCTATAAAAGTCAAACAGTGTCGATAAGGACAGGGAGAGTAACCTACTATCTCTATTTTCATAATTGCTTATTCTCTAACAAACGCCACACACACACACACACACACACACGCACACACACACACACAATATTTTAATAAATTCAACTCCAACACCTAAAATTCCAACACTTTTTCTACTAATTTTTTTTTTTTTTTGTTGACACGTTTGATTTTGGGCATTATTCACATAAGTTACATTGACTTAGTTTTAGATTAAGTTAACATAGTCATGTGAGTTAGATTCATTAAAACATCTATTTTCTAAATAACAATTTTTTATAATTTTTCTAGCACATAAATAAAGATAAAATTTAAACTATCAATTGGCTTAGTTGGCAAACATGCCTAAAGGAAATGTGTTGATTAAAATATAATGAAGTAGATATAAGAAAAGTTCAAGGTAAAAATGGGTGTTATATTTAACCGATTTTCAATTGAATTTATCTAAACTTTTCTAGAACTTATTATTACTCATTTTTGTTGTAAATTGAACTTGGATTTATCTAAATATTCATTTTCTTAAAATAAAATCATCAAAAACTGATTTAATTTAACTTGTTTATGAAAAATAGTGGAAATAAGGAGATAAAGTTTAAGATCAAGATAAATTCAAAGTTTGGCCCTCGATTCTACCTCCACCTAATTTTCACTAAATTCAATTCTAACTAGTTCAAACTTCATAAGTTCAAATAGTATAATTTTAACTTATTTACAATCTAATAAGTTTGGATAAGGTAAAAGAAAGTCTAATAAGTTCATATAAAATAAGATAAGTGAAATTCATGTGATAATTAATAGGCCTTTGGTTGAACATTATACTTTAGGTCATGCTTAGGCCAAGAGGTAAAGTCAAACTAGGAAAAACATAAGAGATTAGAGGTGATATCAAACAAGATTAGGTGTTGATATAAAATAAGATAGTGGTGACATGAGAAAAGAGAGAGAAGGTGAAATTATTACCCTTATAGCGAGGGTATAGTTACCAACCGGTCCTACCCTCAACCTATAATAACTATTACCCAAAACGAGGGCAATAGTTCCCCTTATTCTCACCTGCCACCACACCATCACTACACAATCCCCCCTTAGAGTTACACTTACATCATAAATATCCCCTCCTTATAATTACTTATATTCACTTCCATTTTCTTTCGTTTGAATTTTATCACCCTATTAATAAATTACCTTAATATCTTAATCCAAGCATGCCCTTAAAGATGTTAAGTTAATGAAAATTAATAACGATGTTGCATGATTAATTGGTTTTCTTATTTCCAAATTCCAAAACACTTGATGCGATTTGTGTTCATTTGGTTGATTGCGACACATACAGACTCTCAGTTCCTTCAAACTACCCTTGTTTCTATCTTTATGGTTCCGCTGAAAAACACATCAAAACCCTTGACCTAAAAAACTAAACTTCTACACTAATTTCAAATTGCATTTTCCAAGTTATCAAAACAAACACGAAGCTAGTAGGTACAAATTGTCTTGCAGAAGAAATGCAATTAATCAGCATTGAACATAACCACCAGGAAAAGCAAAAATGAAAAGAACGGAAAAGAAAGAAGTCGTATATACCCCAGAAGGGAGACGGCAGACGAAGCCGACGATGCATTTTGCTCCAAAAACTCGCAGGCAGTAATCACAATAGGTTCAGCAAACATGACCTAACAAAAATTAAACGGCATAATTACAAAGATTCACAAATTCAAAAACTTTACCCAAGGATTAATTTGAACCTCCAACACAAATTCACCATATAAAATCAAATTTATAGTAATTCATAGCAGCCAAAAATCCCCAAATGACAAATTTCTTGGAATAAGTGGCGGGAAATTTGGAGCATAAATTAAAAATTAAGAAAAAATAAAATTGCAAGAAGGAAGAAGAATTGGAGAGAGAAAGAGAAGTTACCTCGTCAACATATTCGTCTAATTGAGGGTGAACGAAGGTTTGAGCGAAGAGCACACAGGCCCGTCCTTGAGGCAGTGCAGGAGGGGCGGCCGCCATAACTATGTATCCAACAATAGAATGAGAGGAAGAGGAGGACGGATCTACGTTTTTGTTTCCGAATTGCTCCTTGTACAGTAAATCAGTATTATAACTATAATTCCGTAATTCGTTCTTTTTTTTTCTTTTTTTTTTTTTTTTTTTTTTTTTTGAAGTATAATCAAATAATGTAAAAAATATCAAGCTAACTTTAGTTTCAATCTTGTGAGATATCCCTAAAAAAGTTCTTTTACATATTTGGCCCCATTTGATTTTAAAAGCATTAAATCTCTCCATTTAATTATTATATATATATTAGACATTTATATTTCTTGATTGAACTCAATATCCTATTACCGTTGAGTCACTAAATCAAAGTAGCATAACTAAAGTTTTGAACATTGCACCCAACTACACAACATCGATCCAACACATTTATCGTCTACATGCAGCTAGTTTTAATAAAATATTATGCAAACAAGTATAGGCATAGAGGATATCGGTAATAATTCTTCTTAAAGGGTTAGCCATACCGCGCACATTGCGTGCGTTGAAATCCCTAGTAATATTTAAACTTTTAAATTCGTGTAATTGCAGGTGTACTACACTATCTTTAGGTCTTGATTACTAGAAACTAATACTAGAACTTATGACTATATAGGTACAGTATATGTTATTTCTTAATTAGTTAACCATTGTTTAAGTAAATGAATTAGTTCTAGCATAATTTTACACCATATAAATCTTCTTTATAAATATATGATTGTAAGTTTTCGTTAAAATTTATTTACAGAAAAATATGTCTCAATGTTTTTTACCTTTTATATTCACTACGATGTATACATAATTACGTATATATGTCACAATTATTGAATGTTTGATTATACATCATAAAAATAAATAAATAAATAAATAAACAAAAAATAAAAAAATATTATTGACGATAAAATTGATCATATAAGATATATTATTTCTACATTTTATCACTCTATATTAGGGGTGGCAAACAGGTCGGGTTTAGGTTCACCTGTTTATATAAACGGGTCGACAACCCCAACCCGACGTGTTTACATAAACCGGTTAAAAAACGGAACCCGAACTGACGTGCTAATAAACGGGTCGACCTGAACCCGACCTGATTGAACTTATTAATTTTTTTAAATTATAATTATGGGTCAAATAACACACAAATGAACTTGATATTTTTTTCACGCAATAACTTGTTAAAATTTACAAATGATATAGCATCAAATTACAATTCAAGAATCTCAAATTACAAATATAGTTTTACAGTTGCTAAATCATATTAAAACTCTTCTTCTTTGAATCAACGAGCTGCATTCTAACTCTGTTATTGTCTAGCCAGCTATTTGTGCATAAGAAAATTTCAAAATAAGCACAAAATATCGATCAAAAACTCAAAAAAAATCAATTAAAAATGAAAAAAAAAAAAAGAACGAAAAAAATGAGAAAACCCTTTTTATTTTTCATTTTAGAATATTCACCCTCTTAACAAAAAGCATTTTCAACTAACGTTTATTAAATAAGATTAAATGGCATAATAATAAAGAGATTAAGAGAATGAGAGTAAATTACCTTGATGAGTGAGTTAAGGAAGATTAACAAGTTTGGATCTACATCAGTGGTGGATCTAGGATTCCGATCACTACTGTATACTAATCAATAATTAATGCATAAATATTCAAAAAGCTAATAATTTTTTTTAAAAAAAAACATTCCAAAAGTATTAAATATCCATATTACAATCAAATTAAAAAAAAATTACAATTGCTCCCTACAAGTTTTTCATGTTTTGATATCGATCTATAATATCATTTCATGTCAACATTCAAAAACATCTCTCTCTATATGAGTAACCAAGCTATTATTCAACATTTGATCCCCCATGCTATTACACAATTTATCTTTCACTTGCGTCATTCTAAAAACTCTTTGTACACTTGTTGCAACAGGAAGAGTTAGAACCAACTTCAAAAGCAAATACACTCGTTCATGGGTTAAGCAAAACACTATTGCTTCAAAAATCCAAGTTAATTATACACACATTACATATAAACTTGATACTAAATTATAGCTAAAACACTAATAGTAAACTTAGTGCTCAAAATATACACTATATCTGTAACACCCCAATAATTCTCTCTTTAAAACATGTATTACCCTGTAGTAACCTGTAATCACCTGTAAATACTTTTAATAACCTGTGAGAAAATTACTGGCGTACTACCGCCACGAGTTCAAACGTTAAGGCTGGTTTTAGAAATCAGCAGCGGAAAACTAACTTAATTTTAAAAAGAATATAAGTTTCAAAACTAAAAGTCAAAACTCAATTTAGTCTTACAAGTTGGAACCATAACGGCCTTTATTCAAAATCCAGTAAAATAGGAAGTAAATGGAATTAGAACCAAAATAAAATTCAATCTATGATATAAAATAAGCTAAGTGATTAACCAACGCTCCACTCAAATCCCATCACCCTGATGGAAATCAGTTTATGCAAAAACCTGTGATTAATCTGCTCCCCAATAATACAAGTGTAAGAATTGGATCATTACAGGGTCATTGAAGGCGAAGGCCATGACCAAGAGAAACACACAAAAGCACGTCATCAGCAATGCTGAGTACATACAAGCTACGAAATATAGTAAAGAGTCTTGGCATGATACTATCAAGCATTCCATACACTCACAATATAATCATTGACTCGAACACATTATTCAACTGTTACTTATTACAAAGTTTCTCTAAATAGTATTGATCACTTCATTAATTTAATTGGATTAAGCAATAGACTGGGTTGTCCCCCTGTGCTCCATTCCGGAACATTAAATAAGAAAACCCTATGCCTCCTTTCGGAAGACATTAATAAACATCCAATGGCAGACGGGCGCGACTCCGTGGCCATAGCTAGTATGAGATCTCATCTAACACATTATAATTTTATAAGAATTTAAAACAAGAGACTCGTAGATAAGACGACCTCTGAAAAGTGCACGGCTAATACCCCGTGAACCCCAACCCCTGTTTGTCATTACTCTAGATGTGCACAAATCCAAAGTTTTATTGCTCATCCTTCTTGCACTTTACGTGATTTACCAGTTTAAATTTGGTGATGACTCATATGCAAACAACACAACCAATCATACATCAATCATTCAAATCATTCAAGTTTTCAATTCAATTCTTAATTTATTAGTGACAAACAATATTTATTATTGAATCCTTTAACTACCTCGGTGTATAAACACCTTAAGTGCATAAGGCACCTCATATCCACAATCTTGTCTTATAAGACTTTAACTCTTCCTTTACTCATTCCATTTCAATACAAATGAATAAGTAATTAAAACGATTCATTCCATAAATATATACTTGTAGCTTTACTTCTAAGCTCTCTTTGCAAAGTATTGCATGAATCATGCTCATAAGGAAACATCAATGTAATTTCTCATACATGAATTAAACCAATCATCAAATTTATCATCAATCAACTCATTACCAAACAGTTTCAACCAATCCACAAGTTCCCTAGCATGATTCTAGGTTTTTTTCAATACCTTAAACATGCTCCTACAATCAAGTTTTCTCGTATTCTTATACGTACCTTAATTAAATTATCTTTCCAACTAGCCACAATGCTAGAAATTACTCAACTTAAAGTCTCCTACAATACCAGATATATAAACTCAGTTACTCCCTTGATTACACAAATTTTCAGCAGCTTTTAAACACTTTAAACACTTTTCTAATAAGCTGAAATTTTGGTTTAAAACCTTTAAAACTCTTTCTTTAAGTGGGTAATTAAAACCACAAATTAAAAACTCATTCATGGTGTTTATATAAAAATTCCAGCACATTCTTTAAGATTTAAATCCCTCAAATAAATCAGAAAATTATTTTTAAAACATTAATCCTTCGTCAAAAATCAAAAACTGTCCGAAAACCCTATTTAGAGGCTGATTTTGGCCACGAGAAGATAGTGCTCACTACCAAAGGTAGTGGACTATGATTAAAACGTTGTTTACACACGAAAAACACTATTTTTTTTTGTAAAAATCAAACGAGTTATAATCTCAACGGGATTAAAACATGATTAAAAATAATTAAGAACGGAGATCGGAATTTAATTACCGAAAATTTGTTTTTATGTTTAATTAATCTTTATAAATTAAATAGGAATGAAAGCCCTAATTTAATTGATTATTAGAACCCTAAAAATCAACACTTTAATAGTTAAAACCCTAATTTTTAATACTTTATAAAAATCATAATTTAAAACCATACAAAATCAGAAATTTATACTCTTTAGTTGTCAAAACACAATTATAAATATACTAATCATATTCAATAATAATTAAAATCAAAAATCCATAGTATATAATTATAGGAATAATAATCAAAACAAGAGGAGGAAGAAAGAGAACCACCGTGGTGGTGGCCGACGGGTCGCCGGCGGCTGGGTGGCGTGGCGGCAGCAAGGTGGCGTGTGGTGATGGTGAGTTGCACGCATGAAAGAAACAGAAGAAAGAAAGAATAAGGAAAAAGAAAAAGAGGAAAAAAAAAAGAAAAAGAAAAATAAGGGAAAAAGAAAAGTTACTTACCCCCCAAAATCTGATTTTTGATCTTTTGTGTGTAAAAATTTTGGGGTTTTGGGGAATATTTATAGAGTAGAAAGTAGGTATTGGGTTTGGGCTTAATAAATAGGTAGGCTTTAGTTATGAAGTATTTGACCCACAAGGGTTCAAATAAAAGAATTGGGCTTACTTAAATGAAATGGGTTGGTCCACAAGGAGTATGTAAGGATTGTTTACATACTATTATTTAAACGAGCCCAACAATTAATAAACGTTTAGCCCAAAATAAATTATAATTTTATAAAACTCAATAATTTAAAATACTTTAGCCCTTAAAAATATATTATAATTAATTAAATAATTTATAAAATACATAAAAATACGGAGTATTACAATATCTCATTCTAATCACTATATCCGAATATCCCAATCCCATTCTAATATCAATTTAAAAAAAAAAGGGCAGGGCAGGAGGGGCGGCCGCCCTAGGCCCAGGGAAAAGAGATTTAATTTCATATTCAATTATCTCGAAAAATACATAATTTTAGGGATATTTGATTCAATAATCAAATTACGCTCATAATTTTCTTTTCTTTTGGTTATGATGTTTCATAATCTAAGAATTTACGAACCCTAAACTTAAAGCACTGATAATTAAATTAGATTAGATCAAATATAAACCCTAGATTGTGAAATTGATACGATGATA